GTATGTATAGTGCGTTATAGTTGAGAGCTTCATGAAGCATTCGTAATGCCCGCATCAACACGGGTTATGCCTTTTTGTAAATATTTTTAGCCATGTTTATAATGGTTTATGCTTGTATTACAATGTGCTATGAATGTGTTCATAGATTCTTATAGACATGGCATTGATAGAACGTGTTGCCAGAAATCCTGGGATCCCAGGGGGAAATTTGGTGAAAGGTTCCAAGAAAAACTGGAAAACCCTTCTCATATCAGAGCTACTGGAGGCTAACCCTTTAGCCAGGCTTGGGGGCTGGAAATGTCCCAGTCAGGGAAATGTAGCCATGTTTTAGGCTCATGACAATGGAGACTGGCTTTGGGAACATGGAAGGACCCTAAGCTGGTGTGTAGATATAGTCAGCCTGACCTTCTCATATAGTTCCATAGGCTCTGGAACTAAACTTCTTGATTGGGGTGAAATCTCTCCTACTCTGGAGTTCTCCATGGTGAAACCCCTCGGGTGGGGGTGGTGGGATACTCACAAGTGTCAAGCTGAAGGCTACACAGTTGGGGTGTCCCCAGGCTACGTGATGATCGGCTCTCTCCAGCCTCGAGGTGGGGGGAGGGAAATATTCCGGCTCTTTTTGTGTGTACGCGGCAAACAGCTTTGTAGAGAAGACGGGCAACATGCTCAGGAGGATCCCTCCTACGGACTCTGTGGTCCTACTGGGAGACGTCAACGCTCATGCTAGGAGCAACAGAGATACTACTTGGGTCCTGAATTGGAAGCAGCGCATGAGGAGGAGGCAAGATGTGCTAGGATGACGCATGAGCAATAATGCAAATTCCGGCGTGGCTGTGGGATAATAGACCAGCCCCCCCCCCCCCCCACACACACACACAGTTGAATGAGGATTCCTGGGGATATGCCAACAGTCTCTACATGTGCACTTTTGGCGTATCATATGACCGCATGGCTTGGCGCGTACAGTAGGAGGTGCTGCTGGAGTATGGAGTACTTGGGCTAGTAATGTATGCTGTGTGATCCCTGTATGAATACAGCAAATTGTTTAGAGTGGGTTTGACATCTACCACCTCATCTTCAGTCTTGTTTGCAGTTTTCATGGATAGGATTTCAGCTGGAATGGTGTCCAGTGCGGGGGATAGAGGTGACATCTCTCCTATTTTCATACCATGCACTTATAGCCTCATCCAACAAGGACTTCCAGGATAAACCTGAGCAGATACATGCTGAGTGTGAAGTACCAGGCATAAGAATCAGCACGGCTATGGAGCTCTCTCAGAAAAGAGAATTCCTGCTTTCAGGTAAGGGGGAAGAGTGAGCCTTTAGTGAGGGTGTGTAATCACCTTGGGATGTGGTTCACGAGTGGTGAGAGTGTACGTGACAGGAAGTTCGGTTCGGTGGGGGCATTTTGCGGGCAGTGAGCCGGTCCTTGGTGGGGATGTGGGTGTAAAGTCATCCGATGAAGTTCACGGTTTACCGGTCAATCTATGTCCTTTTCCTCACCTACGGTCATGAGCTGTGGGTAATGACCGAAAGAACAAGGTCGCAGGTACAAGCGGCCGAAATGAGGTCTCTCCATAGGGCTTCCAGGCTCACCCACCGTGACAGGGCGCGGAGTTTGGAGATCCGGGGGGACCCAGGAAATAGATAAGCTGTTCTTTCGTATTGAGAGGAGTCAGCTGAGGTAGTTCAGGCACCTAAGGATGCCAGTCGGTCAGTTCTCCAGGGATCTGTTCTACACTGGGTCGAGGCCCCAGGGCGGACCCGGAACATGCTGGCATGGGAAGGTCTGGGGATGCCGTAGAATGACCTGGAACCTTTGGCCTTGGAAGGAGAAGGCTGGTCTGACCAGCTCAGCATGCTGCCCCCACGATCCTCACCAGGAGAAGGGGTTTGAAGGTTGTGGTAAGAAATACCTTTCAAATCTTGTAGCTGATGTTTTACATTATGTAAAAGCAAGGGTAATATGCTTTAAGTTCAACTTATATTTGGTGTGTTTGGAATTGTAAAATACGGACGCACTGAATGCAGGCCCGACTGCCCAGGGTTGGTTCCTGCCTGCGCCTGTTTTTCCCGGGACAGGCTCCAGTTCTCCCAGCAACCCCAGTTGGGATTGAGCGGTTATGGTGATGGATGTATGGATGGATGAATGCAGGCCTTTAAAACTGACATAGTCAAATGATATAGCTGCCATATGTGGAAAAATAAAGAAAATATTATCAAAGCCTTGCATTTACATCAGATAATCATCACTATGTCTTATCGGAGTACAACAACTGGCCAGTTTGTGATAGAAGCATACCAAGTATGTACTGTAATAGAGGATCGATCTCGAGGTGTGCAGTGTCGGTCCTCGACTGACTCCAGACGTACAGGTGTATTTATTTCCCAGCACGATACTGACCAGTGAGGACGGTGAGGAGGGTTACTGTTACAATGGGCAGGTGTCCGCGGACTGGCCACCATATCCCCCCCGTCACTGGTGCTATTATACCATGGAGCTCTGCAGGATCACTCTCACTCTCTCTGTCACTCAAGCCCTGAAACTGAGCAGCTCTAAACGAGTCCAAGGAATAGTGTTTCCAACAGGTGAACAGCTGCCTGAGTCCTGGTGACATATCAGAGTTGACCATGCTGCAGCCAGCAAGGGGAAGATACCTATGGAAGGTGCACCTGCTGTTTATTGTGACAGGATCCACGCATTCTCATTACCGCACACACTTCATGTATAAATACACATTTTGTAAATATGCATAATCTGTAATGTACCTATGCATTTTTGTACGATTGTACCTTTTCAGAGATGCGGTTTTGCTAATAAAGAAAAATCATTTTCATTTTATTTCAGTGAAAATCATGCTACACCCAGATAATTGCGGGTGACGAAACAAACATCATCGGCATGATCTATCATCTCAGGGCATTCCACGTAAGAGATATGACCTACGTATGACATACGTCAAAGGGTCACACTTTAAAAGATTCAAGAAACAAGAAAAGAATGGCTAAAACGTTACAACTCTTCATCTGGTCAGAAAGCCGCTTCTGATAAACTATTGCTCCAAAAAAAAAAACAAAAAAAAAAACGCGATGCCACAGTACTGGCTTTGTGAAAGCCTGTCAAAAGCCGGTGAGCTGCAGCAGTACAAGTTAATGAGACGCATAGCGAGCGGCTATTAGTCTTGGTTTCCAGCACCAGATTCATTAAAATGTCTGATTTAAGGCGAATTAAACAGCTGGCAAAAACTACATTGCTGTGTGTGTCTGACCAGGCTGTGGTTTCATTTATATCTATGATTTATGGTATCCTTTCCTATTGCTATGTGCAAAACCCACACACTTAAGGAGAAGGAAGTAGCAACCACAATCCAGATGAATATCCATTCATTTATCCTCAATAATCGCTGAACCAGTACGGGGTCGCAGTGAGCATGGAGCCTGGTACCGTGCTGGAGGTATGGGGCTCTCTGGATGGGCTCTCCTGCTGTATAACCACCCGAAATGGATGACTGCTCATGGGGACTTCCACATGAAAGCATCATAGGACATCCTGGATACTCATGGTTTAACCAGTTCTCCATATGGGTCAAATAACCAACATAGAACCAAGATTATAATGCATGCCAGGCAATTCCTGCTTAGCTTTCCTGTGCCTTTTTAAAAAATGATTTAAAGCTGAATAATTCAACATATTGTAATTTGTCAGTGTAATTAACACAACGCATGTTTCACAGCAAGAAATGAAAGGTCCAAATATTTCATTAATATTTTATAGACGGGAAAGTACACTCCTCTGTTAGCACAAATTGTTACAATTGTTGTTATTTAATATTACATTCTCTCTTTGTGCATAACAGAGGATTGTGGGATCGTATTTTATTATGTTTAACTCATCAATATTAATAACAATTAATTATTGAAGCAACTGCAAAACGTGAATGACTCAATTAACTGCATTTTCTGAAAAGCCGTGAAAACCATGCAGGTCTAATTTAAGAGAAAGTACAGTCAGTTTTAAAAAGGGAAACCCATGTTTGTATTGTTATATTCCATGTGCATGGCTAAGACAGCCAATATGGTAATATTCCTCTTGTAAGCAAGAAATATGAGAGAATTTTGTGGGAAAATGTATTCAATGTTGCCGGTTGCCATTAGCTCTATAGCATGTCACTGCCTGTCATTAATAAGAAAGTATGCTGAAAATCTTCAAATACATTTATAAGTTTGACGCTTTGGGGTATTTCCTCCCGCGACATAAGGCAGTCAAAATCTCCAGCAAATATCATAAATGCAAAATTAAAATAATATTCAAGCATTAGAGGGGTAGGTGTTAATGCATTTGTCGATGCAACGAGAAAGTAACTGACGTGTAACAGGCAAAACATATCGATCAGTTACGGTGCTCCAAAGCGTTTGAGGACAAACACCAGCAAAAATGAAACTGCTGAAAGTTAACGATCGATCCGTCAGTACATGCTTTATTTAACTCGTCGCATATAATGTCTGACTCACGGCAGGGGGTTTCGTGTTTTTGCAGTTTTAATCTCACTTTCAGCAGCACGTTGCTGTACTGGTACAAAAAGTACGTGTCTTGTGCTATAGAGAACCATCGGCATCACTATGGAGCCGACTAACCCACGTAAAGCTAATATATATATTATATGTGTGTGTGTGTGTGTGTGTGTGTGTGTGTCTATCTGTTTTGTAACTAAAAGTGAAAACGCGCGGGTGTCTTTAGCGGTATTTAAATTTGACAAAGGTTCTCTCGTTCCTATCGGCAACTTCCAGCTAAAGAAACAAAGAAATGGACACATTTCCGTCATCTTGCCTCAGATCAAACTAGTTTCATTTATTCATTTGTTTTTATAAAGGGGTAAATAAATCCACGGAGCCTCCGCGGTCGGAGCGCTGCGTTCGAGCACCCGATGCCGCCGCAGGGCTGGCGGCGTCTCGGCCGTGCTGAGGATCGTGGGACTCGGTGATGTCAGAGCGCTTTTGGGTCATTTGAAGGTTAGCAGCGCCACAAGGGTTCATATAAAGTTCACTCGCATATATTAGGCGATCCAATCTTTCATTCCCTGCGACAAAACTAGTAGGAGGTGAGCAGCGTGGTCGGATGAGCCATCCGTCACCGAGGGGCGACTCCGTATTTCTCTTTTTTAATACGGAAAGTGTATGATGGAAATTGTGCATGTATGCGTTTTAATCGGGCTCACGGCGCCAGACGCTCAGATCATTTAATGCTCCGGCGAGAAGGGAAATAAGGACCGGGGAATCCCGGCTGGCCGCGGCACCGAGCGGGCGGAGAATGGCGAGCGATCGCCGGGATCAATCACAAGCTTTTATCGGCGTCGTCTGTCATAATTCATTATTATAAGACTTGGGGGAGGAAAAAAACACCAAGGATCGGACGTGCCAAAAAAGGGGGCAGAGTTTGATGGAGTTGCGTCGACTTTTTTTGCACATGAATCCAGTTGGGTTTGAGCTGGAAGATCACAGCGTGTAAAGAGGGACTGTCGCGCCGGGACAACATGTTTGATTGCATGGATGTGATCGCAGTGAGCACTGGACAGATGCTGGGTTTTTACTCTCCGAGTCCTTCCTCATGCATGCTTCAGGAGAAGGCTCTCAAAGCATGCCTCAGTGGGATAGCTCCAGCAGACTGGCCGCATCGTCGGAGCAAGCACTGTACGTTCATTTCTTTCCCTGCTTCTTTTTTCCCAATTATTCGTGCATGCAAGCCGGTCTCCGAGAGCGCATTTGCCGGCGAGCCTTTCGCAATATAGCGCCTTCGCCTCAGTTCTGCTCCGCTGTGAAACAATGCAGCGCTTTACCCTTAAATAAATTAACTTACACCAGCCTTGTGTGCGTGTTTCCACGCAGCGAAAGTGATACTCAAAGTGTATGTATCAAAATATATGAAAGTGTGCATGTGCAACTTTAGGACAAAGTCACAGAGAGGTATTGACCATTATGTGAAAGTGAAAAGGAATAGTTGTATGTTGTCTAATTATTTTTGTCATTATTATTAATGATAATAATAATAATAATATAAAATTATACAAAAATATTATTATTGCAGACATGTATCCAGTAGCTTGCAGTTATGGACATCCTGGCGCTTTGTCCATGATTCCCGTCATATATTTATGTCTGTGAGCAGACAACACCCAAACTGTAATGTCAGCACAGCCTTCTTTGTCACCTTTATCCATGTTTAAAAGCCTTCTAAGAGGTTTTTTTTAAAGGATTACATAATTTCATTTGTACAGCAGCGGTTTTACCGTGGTTTACGTAAGATTGCATATATTTACACGAGTATATAGATTTTAGTACTCTCGTTTTATTTGAACTGGCAATATCTTAATCACTCATCCAGTGAAAGTAAATGCCCGCAGCCTCGCATAATTATACATATCATTTTCATTAATGCGTGCGAACGCTCGGCGTTAAAGGTAATAATAGTAACTATGGTAATAAGTACATTTTTACTGCAGTCATGAGAAAAACTACAGATTGTATGTCTCAGCTCTGGGCATTTTGCGGGGCTGGTTAGGTTTACAGAGAAAGCCTGCAGGATGTATCCCTAATTTACATAAAAAGTTATTATTGGCATTTTTAATAGGAACCTGGGAAAAAGCAGTTCACCGTCAATGAATAGCCGTAAAGCCGGAGCCTGATTCAAAGTGAATGAATCCCCTTTGTTTCCTGAGTTAGGTTTTTCCTCGTTTAGGAGCACATATGTGAACATATGTCAGGTGAGCCAGTCAGGTTAGTCTATGGCAAAGTGATTTAATCAAACACAGACAGCGCTTGCACGTATTACATTTAGCCATATGTCTGAAGAAGGAACCCCGGTGTTTCCCTTCTAATCATAAAACTGTCCCTGCATTGTTTTGGATGCAGAGATGGGGCGCAGAGAAGTTAGATGTTCTGTTAGAAGGTGTTTTTATGGTCTCTGATCGTTATGGTACGGTACGTTTCCCCCCCTAAACATTCCACAGATTGTTATAGTTACAGCAGAGGTTCATTAATTCAGTACTTTTTAAATATATTCTGCGCGAGAAATTGGGTGATTCCAAATAACCGGTTTTAAAACCAACCCTCAGGTATACCCCCCGGGGAGGCTGGTCTAGGGGACGCACAGGGGGCATGCGGTGTTTTATATATTAGATTTATTAGGCTGTGTGGTTGGGTGGGCAGTTCACTCACCCCCACATCTGCCTGGTTGTGGTTTTGCACTTGGCTCCAGCCCTGCCAAAGTGGATTCTCCATGTTCTCGTGCCGGTGTGAGTTTCCTCTGGGTGCTCCAGTTTCCTTCCAGAAATCCAGAGATGTGCCGTACGTGTCGGTCGCCGGTGATGTGCTACCCTAATGCCCCCGATTGGGGTTAAAAGCTTGTCCATGCGGTACCTGCGTCTATCCCCGCGTTTACAGTGATATACCCTGGACCACTGTGACCCTGGCTGGATTCGCATTACTGAAAAAGCAAAAATTATTAATAGTGCTCTATTGGACTGTGACCATATCTGGACATTTCGGGTTTTCACTGGAGATTTGTACTGTCAAGTAGAGATGGTCTCTATGCACCCATTAAAATTAATAATAGAATTTCAGTGTGATGGACACAAATTTTCTGCATTTATTAAAGGAGATGTGTAATAGTAGCCCAGTGCCACTGGTAATAGCTCAGTTTTCACTGACCGCGCTGTAAAATGTATTCTCTGCATTGGTATTTTTGCAAGTGCTGATTGACGCATAATTAATAAGAAGTTTAATTGGAGTAAACATGGTAAGATCTCAGGCACTGGCTTTGAGAGGTGCTCATAGGTAAACACGAGCCTGCCTAATCGGCCAGGGCGTTATGAGGAGCCTTTGCGGGGGGGGGGGGGCAGCACTGTCTCTTGTAATGGCTGACAGAAAATAACCGGAAGGCGAGGACTGATTACTTATTTGTTACCTTCATAGAAGCGGTGTGATTAAGCGGTGAAAATTGTGGAGAAAATAGACAATTAAGTACAGGCTGCTGGGGTGTTCGGAATAGAAGAGCTGTAATTTATAATCCAGCTTTTTTCACAGAGTGTAAACTTTGAAAAGCAGCTTGCGTGGTTGGAGGAGACAGGAGACTCTTTTGAAAAGCCTTTCTGTCAGTGTCAGATACACGGGGAAGTGTAGCTACGTGTGGGTGTATACATATGATGTGCTGTGTTCTCTTGTGGCTCTTGCCTTTGCCGTGTCCTGTCCTCTCATTCCGTCTAAATTTACTACATTCAGACACAGAAGAATCCAGATATCAGAGCCTGCCATACATATGGATGTTATTTTAAGTTTTTGTTGTATTTTATCACAGTTGCATAATATTTTCTGGACTGGGAAGCATTTTTTTTTTTTTAATGAAATTGTGTTTATGGAAATTTTGGAATTAATTTTGTGGGATGTTTTCCAATTATGCTGAAAGTCTGGCAGCCCCTATGAGCTCAAGGCTGTGTGACACAGACACGCCATTGTTTGTCGCTATGTGCAAAAACCCTGCCTTGGTATTATTGATTACTGAGTTACACCTCAATTATATGTGTACAAGAAAGCCGCATGGATTCATGTAATTATAAATTGGACGCGTGATCTTTACTCCAACCATTTTCAGTTCAGCTGATCAATCGAAAACTGGCCCATTTAAACAAAACATGTTTCTCCCCTTAACAGCATTGCAGAGGTTTTGGATTTTAGCTGCATGTTCTCCGGCTTGAAGATGCAGATACGACCGTCATTATCCAGCCTGTGCAGATGTGTGCGTCTGTTTGTTTGGCCGACCATGCCACCAGGCAGGTGTACGTGTGCAGACTAAATAAACAGCAGACAGAATGGAGCTGATCTGTCCCAATTGTTTTTCTGTCCTCTTTGGGGTCATATGTCACATGGTTTTCAGGGAGCAGAATGGTGTTTCCATTTTTTGGCATCAAATCGATTGGTTGCAAGTAGAAATATCTTATTCTGAATGTGGGAATGTAATTTTGGTTTTATATAGTTGTTTTAATTAAGCTCCTCTGTAATTTTGATTCAGGAGTTTTGATAATCAATATAGACACATGATGTAATTTGTTGCATAACAGAAATGATTTACAATTAGTGGCTAGAATACTATTTACACCTATTTGCTAATTCAGGTAGTGTCCTGCCTGCTCCACACGGCGAATGGCGTGGCTGTAGCTTAATACATACAGCACACAGGCCGGGTGAAGAGGTGTGCTTACTGTTTGGCTAAGCATTTCAACGGCTAAGACGCCTGATTAAAGTGATTTTTGAATGCAGTGTTATGTTTGGTTCCAGCATGTCAGCCCTCCTGGGATTTTCACACACTACAGTATCTAGAGTTTACAGAGAACGGTGTGATGAACAAAGCACTTCCAGCCCATGACATTTTTGTGGCCAAAATCACCTTGGTAATGAGAGAGGTCAGAGGTGGATGGGCAGAGTTAATCTTAAGGCAACAAGTGCAGAAATATCACCTACAGGATGAGCGCAAGGCTTGTCTACCCTTAATGCAGTTCTGGAAGCAAAAGTGGATCCTACCCAGTACTGGCTAGAAGAACCAAGTGCAGTGGTAACTGAGTATTTTAAATAATGGTAGCATTGATCATGAATATTATTTTTGAGAGGGTTCCAAATGGCTGTGCTATCACTGAATAAATACAGTTATGTTGGCTAATGGCAATTAGCTTGGGTTAGTGCTTACGTCATCGACAGCATGACCCGGTCAGGACGGTCTCCGTGAGGTCAAGGCAGGGTCACCGGAGAGTCAACCCCAGACCTAAGCCTTGTGAGAAAGCATTCTTTCTTCAATGCCATTCTGTCTTTTAACAGTGCTTTGGGTGCAACGATCTCCTGCAGGTGCAGCTTTTTTAGAATCCCGTTAGCGGTGGAATTGCAGCACAAGAAAGTTGGTACTCCATCGCCGCCAGAAATCTCTGGAGGTTTTTCTTAGACATAAAAGGGAAGTTTGAATAGACTCTATGCAGTGAAATACAGGGATGGTGTGAGGGAAAGCCGCTTCAGACTCCCTGTGCTTTCCGTCTTTACATACTGAGCTCCCTCCCCCCCCCTCCGCTGCCCCACTTGCCTGACATTGGGCTCTGAAGTACTTTTATTGCTGATCTGAGAAAAATATACAGCACTGTGCAACTGTGCAAAAGACTTAGGCAGTCAAAGAAAATGTTTAAAGCAATTTATTTGCTCAGTAAGCTTGCTCAGAAAAAGAAAAACAAATTAACATTAGAACACATGAAAATTAACAGTAGCAGAATAATAATGAACAAGAATTTCTTCAGATCTACAAAGAGTCAGTAATATCTCGCTGGACAGCTAGATGAACGTGGTTTCTTTCCCAAAACTCTCCTCAGGGTCACCCCAACCATTCCATGCATTTGTTACATTTCACCACCGGCTCAATTAATTCAATTCATCAAATAACTTAATGAGGTATTGATTAGCCAATCAGAGGGTGCCAAGTCAAAAATGCACGCGTGCATTGGAAGGTGCAAATAATGTATAGGTTTTAAGAGAGGTTTCGGAATGTCTAAGCCAACACACTGCGACAGACATCATAGATGACATGAAGATCATTTAAACGTCATTTGCTGTGACTGCCTTTTGCAGGGTGCTGCATACACTTTTTTCCCAAATCCTCACTTCCCCTTTCTTTTTGAGACTACAGTGGTCCTTCGCTCCGGTTTTAAAAGCTGCCTCACTGCCGTACTCATTCAATGCCCTGGTGTTTTATCACAGTGTTGTTTTTCTGTTATATGGGGGTAGTTGACCTTGCTGGAATGTCACCTTCTACAATCTGGTCATTGGGGGTGTTTCAGGCTCTGCTTTGTCATGGTCCAGAAACATGGTAAACATCAGCGTGGCTTTACCCTGAATGTTCTGCTGCTTAAACGCTTCAGAATTCTAGAGACCAAAACTAGAAACTCCTTCTGGAGCGCCATCTTTTCTTTGACCGTCTCCGCACTTCCCCGACGGAGTGAGGCAGCTGGAAGGCCGGAGGTGTCGTGGGAAGGAAGTATTTCGTGCTGCACTCAAGTCATTAGGCCCACTAATGAAAAAGGGGGCTGTCCTAAACCTACAGGAACCACTGCGTCTCGTCCTCTCAAGGAACCGTGAGACACAGAGAGCCTCGGAACGTTTGTGGCCGAGCGGCAAGTTTGGAACTTGGTTTTGCCTGCGCCGTACGGAGAACGGCCATTAATTGGTGTGTTTTCCTGTCTGACCCTGACTGCAGGTTCAGCTGGGGGCTAAGAGTTCAAGGGAAAGACACCAGCAATTTTTCTTACTCCTCTAAAAGGGCTCCCATTCAGTTACATGCCAGCTATCTTTATTCATCTAATGGTTGTGTTAGCCCAGCCTAGAAGTCGCCTTGCAGATTTAAGTGGTTCCTTAAATCTATTGCTATACAGCAAGAAAAAAAAGGCATTTCATGTGATCTGTTGTTGTCCCCCCCCCCCCCTCCTGTGTTGCGCATCAGTGATTTGTCCATCTGGATAAACTACATTGCACATTCCTTTCCTGTGTGAATTTCAAGTGTGAAATGAGGTCTGGCCAACAGAGATGGCAATAAAAATCCGAGCTCTGGTTGGCTCTCCTTGTGTTCTTAGACATTGCTGTTCCTTAGTTTATATCCACAGATACAGAGAATTCATGTACATGTTGTGCACTTACATACACGTAATTGAAAAGTTTGCCTGAGTTCTGGTGCCGTTGTTGCACTAGACTCCAGCAGTGTCTAAAAATTGCAGGCGTCCCTGTTTTGGGTTATATAAAAAACGGTACCTCATTTTCATATTACACTGGGTGTTTAAGGTGAGAGATTTATGACTGAGGATAGTGCAAAACTTCTTGCATGGTTATGCCTCATGTTAACAGTGTCTTTATTTGAGGGACCTAGTATTATGAACTGTAAATTATACCCAAAGGGATTATATATAATTTTATTTATAACTAGTCTATAAACATGAACAAGCAGTTCATAAAATATAGCTTATTTATGTATTCATTTTATATTTCTCTGCTTAAAAAGTAGGACTCTGAAAGCAAACCTAGAAAAACCTTGATAAATATTACCTTAAAATGAAGTGTTACTCTTCCGACTTAGTCCACGTCTACTTTGGTGACCTTGTATTTAGAAGAAACCTCTTTTTTTTGGCTACGGATTATAATCTGTGGGTCGATGTTCAGAAAATGGACTGAAGAAAACCCCCACCTGAGTGGCAATGAAAAGCTCCCATCTGCTGGCCCCCAGCACCGTGTTCAAGGTTAGCAGATATAGGAGGTTTTGGATTGGAGGCCATTTGTGGTCCCCAATCAATCGCCTTTCAAGATGTACAGTGGCTAGGAATTAAATGTCACTTAACCTGTCAAATAACAATTTTTTTTCACCACACGCTCTAAATATGCTCTAAATATACTCTGAGTATGCACCTACCCACTTATCTCGCCTTTTATCAAGAAAGTGGTACAACCTCTTTATAGAGATGCTATTAAAGATTTATGTGTGTTTTTGCTTAAGGCTGCGTCATTCCGGGCTTAGGTTCATTGCGCAGTTAAGGTCAAAATAACAATTCTGGATTGTTAACGAATTTTACAGAAAAAAAATCTAATAATAAAACCGAAAACACGGACTTGGGTAGATCGAAAAGGAAAACATTGACTGGTTAGCGCATTCGCTGGAAGAATGACGGCTTTCTAATGACATGGAAAAGAGTAAAATGACACATGTTCTTTAGTAAGAAGAGACAGCATAGCTGGTATTTAGTAGGAGGAGGTCACGGAAAGAAAAAGAAAAAAACACACAAAGAAGAGCCTTCGGCTAGTGGAAGCACTGCTCCCTCGCACTGTCCCCACAGAGAAAGCTAAAGAAAGATACAGGTGTCCTCACAGACCCGGAATAATCCACGGGCTCAGATAGGCCTATATGCCCTAACTAAACAAAACGCGTGTATTTTTATGGCTGAAAACCTTAAAACCTTATTTTACCCTGCAAAAAAGAAACCCCACAGTGCTGTAAATATACAGCAATTTTGTTCATAATCATAATCTTCATTAAGCAGTTGATCCGCTGCTGTTGCACCAGTGGTGTCAGGCTGCGGGGGGAGGGGGGGGGGCTTGTCGATTTACCTCGAACTAGGAGAAACATTTCAGGATTTTTGCACTTGGACCTTGGTGTGACCGAAAAGATACAGCCAAAACTATGACCAGCATCAAATCTAGCTTTCTTGCTGTTTCCGTTTATTAAATGCCAGGCTTAAGTCGCCCAAATATGCCCCTAAAAGCAAAGATTATTCTGTGCCCTCTGACCACGAAGTGCTTTCTACCGAAGGTGTAGGATTAAAGGGGAGCGCCCGCCCACCCACTTGTGTAGCTGATCCAGGATCAGCGGGGCAGTGCTTAACCGGGATTCGAGTCTATGCATTTTAGCAAACCAAACAGGAACCAACGAAACAAAACGCTGCGGACTAATGACTAAATGTAGTACTATAGTATTATTGCCTGGTTCGTAAACTGTTACTCCGTTTACAATCATAACTGCCAAAATAGGTAAATGTCTATATAATTTTGTCAAAAACCTTTATGTTTCCTGATGAATTCTATAACAGATATATTCATATTCTATTCTAATCATTGATCTGCAACAGAAGTCTCTACTTCTTATATAAACATAAGTAAGCAAAACATTTGAAAATGGTGAAATTTTATTTTGAATGTATTCTATGTACATGTCAGTGTTAGTATATATTCGAATACTGGTTTAATTCGATATAAAATGTTACTGAGAAAAAAGCACATAAAAAATGACACTGCACCATGGTCATTGTTGATTAGGTCTATATATTCTTATATATATTCTTGTTATATGCACGATCGGAGGCCCTCGCTGCTGTAATCCGCGGATTATCGCCCTTGTGTCCCGGCAGCCGTGGAGACTCGGAGCAGCAGTTCGGAGGAGCTGGTACCGAGCCCGCCGTCTCCGCTGCCCCCGCCGCGCATCTACAAGCCCTGCTTCGTGTGCCAGGACAAGTCCTCGGGATACCACTACGGGGTCAGCGCCTGCGAGGGCTGCAAGGTGAGGCTCCCCGCCCCGGCGCCGCTCAGGAACAAGAATAAATGACATACATAAACCACAGCTGACATGTAGACCTCCCGTAGCTATTGTTTCTTTCTTGCCTCATTGAACCCCGAATGCAGCCCCGCTTTCTATCCAGGCAGGTGAGCTGCGCTTAAAATGCGCATCATGCCGGGTTTCCCCTTTCACCGTCACCATTACCACAAAGCAAATGAAGGAAACTGCAAGGAATTACCGATTCACACCAAGCCAGTGCAATATAGCGGGGTTTTCCTTCATTTTTTATTATAGGAAATTACTTTTTTCCGGTTATCGCCAGTCCGTGCGCTTGTGTGAACTTCGATGATTCAGCTTTCGCTAGAAAAACGCACTGTGTGTAAATTGTTGTGCAATGAGCCTTCGTGTTATGTGAGATGTGACAAGCTCCAAAGTGTTTATATATATATATAATATTTGTAAGCAAGCCAGAACAGAGGTCTGCTGTTTTTTTTTTTTTTAAATAACCCAATCCAATGCAGAAAATGAGCAGTACTGTGCAGAAATGGACGCGCTTTAAAGCGGAATATCTGGGGTGCATTTTGGGCGCGTCTCGGTATTAAACCTTGCGGTTTCACAGTGTAAGGCGGACAGAATAAAACACATTTCGTATCTAACAGAAGACGTCGAACTCTTATCTGACAATTACTTGTCCACGGCAGGTGTATGTCTTTAAAAATTGTGACGCATTTCTGAGAATCCCTTCTTATTGCCAGTTACGGTAAAAGCTTAATGCTCAAGGAATAAGGGCGAAGAGAAAAGTCACTAGAATAAATACCATGGAATTGGACCATATTTTTTCTCTCCCCGCACCGTCTTATCAATATTTAATGTGTTTATTTTTAAGCGATTTACACTCGCCAATTATGCGGCTAGCTGTTCACGGGAAGCAAATGCGCCGGAATTTACGCAGTCAGGCGACTGGCCTGGTTGATTCACCTCCCGGGTGCCGACCGGGTCACGTCTGGAACCGGGCATGAATGGCGACACATTCCGCTCGGTCACCTCTCCTGGTGGCTGTTTTTTGTTGCGTTTCCTTCCTTGCCTTTCACATGTGACATTACTAGCTGTGAAGTAGGTGTTGCACTAGTCTGGCCAAGGGCTTAACTTTGGATTGAATATTGAGGGGGTTGAGGTCCTCACCCATTCATCATGACAATATGATTATTTGGGGGGGAGGCTTTATTGGCCGGTTCTAGTAATTTACACCCATGAGTCTGGCCATTCGTTATCTCCAGCAGGGACTAAGCAGATTTCAGCCAGCTTGCTTGGATCTCCCTCTTCATAAAGTGGTTTATTTTCATCCATCCCATCGTCGCTGTAAAAACCCATGCAAACATAAACTGAATGTCACCAAACGTTACCTTTTAGGTGACCCGCAGATCCAAGACAGAGGCAGGTTAACTGGTTTAATTTAAATACCCTGTTGTGGGTTTTCTATTTCCAGTATTTCAGGAATAATGGCATTTAAAAATAAAAAAAAATCAGTTTCCTCTTTTCCGCTTGTTTTTCTTGTTCTGGTAGCAGATTGTGCTGCTAAGCACTAAAGGCTAATGTTTGACATTAGTCACAGCTTCTTTTTGTTTGCATGGGTTGATGAGATGAGCGGCTCCATCAGCATTCATTAGCACGCTGGGCAGCTATGCGTAGGGCTGGGTGTGACTGAGGGTTGGGCCTCTGTTGCTGTGATTGGAAGGTTAAGGTTCAAATCCCATGGCTGCCAGAGTGATGTCACCATTGCTGTCCTGAGCAAGGCCCTTAACCGCCAGCTCCGGGGGCAATACATGCTGGCTGACCCCCCCCAGCCCATCTCTCACCTGTGTATTTGTCTGTGTGTCTCATAGAGAGCATGAATGGTAAATCAGAAAGGGCATTTCTCCACAGGGATTAATAGAATATCATTCTGATCTAATCATGCACATGAGTTTGAACCCAAGTGCTGTTGGCCTTGCCTCACGTGGCCGGTCCACTCAGCCTGCCTCAAAACTAATGAGAAACAATCCAAAGTTCTGCTTATTTAAATGATTTGACACAAGATGAAGCCCTTGAGAAATCTCACATTTTAATAAGTATGACGGAGCATATGGAGGCAGCAGATGTTTAACCATATTCAGGGATGGCCGAGCGTGAGCGTCGTTAGACTCTGCTCTGAGCTTACTGTCTGCTGCTGTCCACATAGGATGGTGTGACGGAGCGTAGAGCACATCCATCCATCTTCCGATCGCTTGTCCTGGGTAGGGTCACTGGCGGACCCGGAGCCAGTCCCAGGCAGCATCAGGCACAGGGCTTGGGTTCACCTTGCATGGTTCGCCAGTCCATCTCCAGGCACATGCACACGGTCATGTTACAGGCAGTTTAGAAACACCTAAGTCAATGTTCCCCAATCCGCTCCTCGGGGACCCGCAGCCGGTCCATGTTTTCGCTCCCTCCGTGCTCCACATTTTGGGAGCAAAAAGCGTAGACTGTCTCTGGTTCCCAAAGACCACACTGGTCTAACTGCATGTCTTTGAAATGTGGGGGGAAAGTCATGAAACACACAACAGAGAGAGAACATCCAAGCTCCACATGCAGCCTAGACAGGGTCTCAGCCCCCAGCCCTGAAGGTGTGAGACAGCAGGAGAAGCAGGAAGTTGCCATAGCTTGTGGGATCGGCTCTGGACCACCGTGACCCAGCAGAGGACGCACAGCCTTGGAAGATGGATGGATGATTATTGCCATCAGTGGAACCTTCTGAGTTAGTATCTCACTGCATAAAGGAGAGGGATGTGAAAATCACAACTTAGTTCAGGTGGTTCTGACTTTTGTGCTCGCTGTGGCGTGTACAAGTTCAGAATTAGTAAAACTTCACGTACCTTCAGAAATAATCCAAAATGGTTTGCAATATTGTCTGTGTTTTTCGGTGTTTTTCACTTCTGCCATCCTGGACCGTATTTCTATGTAAAAGTTTGCCCTGGATGTGTCAGAACAATGAATATCTTTACAATTCTGTGTGATTTTTAAACTTAGACGTGCCACCAGGCAAACATAAAAATGAACACGCGCCAGGAAGCCAGAGGAACGACTGCTGAAATTCCGTTTTGCTTTTTCTGTTTTCCCACAATGCACTTCTGTCTCCTTTCGAGGAAATTGGCTTGACCACATCGTTCTCCTTCCCGTCGAGCCCTGTGCGGTTTGGGAAAGCGCAGAATGGCAGATGTCACAGAAGGGGCCTCGTTTCGTCATTTTGGGGAAATTGAAAACTGTTTATCTGCACCGTGGGTTACACGGGGACTTGTCGGTACACACAGACGACAGACATCTGTTATTCATTTTCCGCTAGTGTCCGCGGGGCTCTCTGAAAGCTCTCTGTTTTGGAGCCAGATATGGGGAGCGAACGAGCGCACGACAACAAAGGTGCGGCCGGGCGACGAGTCAGGGCGGCATCGGCGGCTCCGATTGGACAAGGCGCTGTTATTCCATTCTATCACGCTGCCTTATCATGTGTCATTACAGTGAAAGGTGCAGATTTTTCTATCACTGACACTGTGGTTAGATCTCGCTGAGTCAGACCGGCTGATAAGTGTGACACTGTGGCTCCCTTGCATTATTTTTCTGCTTTTTATGGCGTTGAAAGCTGCTATTTAACAGCGTCCCTCCAGGTCTAGCGTGTTATCTGTGGGGGTTTTATGTTCGTCCCGGCAACAAAGCCCATCTTTGTACACTTTGGGTTCCTTTCATATAGCCGTAGCCTCGGCGTGTATGTTCTCGCTGCCTCCCTGTCAGGGATCCCTCACCTTGTCGTCACCTTTTTGCTGCTCAACAGAGAAATACACCCCCTCCAAAAAAAACCGAAAAACAAACAGTTTATTTTTCTTCTTCATCTCTCACTCTGCCCTGGTAATAGAGCGGCCTTTTCTCCTTGTCTGGCAAACTTGAAGTGTAAGCAATAGCCCAGTTTAATTGCCCCCTTTTCGCTGCCACTCTTCCTGGTTTCAGGTGTCCCTCTCCACTTTCGGCGGTAGCGATAAGCTGTCAACACAATTAAGAATGAAAACTAATCTGATTCTCTCGGCCGGCCCTGAATGCTCGGGAAACACAGGCGGCTACAATGGCGAGCGGTAAATAATTGATGTATGTCACTGTTTTTTTTAAGCTGTAAATGAGAATTCCATATATTCCACGGCCACATACGACACCTTAGCCTCCCCATTACCAAAACAAGATGAAAGATAATGACTCCAATGAAGGCATTGTTTATAGAAGGAAATCAGGTTGAGGAAGAGCACAGCGTTCCCAGGTGGACCATATAGGGTTTCCACCAGTAATCTGGCACCAGTGGTGGCTCTCTTGGATGAGGCACTGGGTAAGCTGGACCCGGCCCATTAGCTGAGGAAGTCCAGTGCCTTGGCATTACTTCTGAAGAGCTCGATGACGTGCCCAGCGAGTGGAACGAAAACTGGCACAAGTCGGAGCTTGACTGCGTTCCAGAGACTAGCTTCGCCGTGCGATATCAAAGGCTTTTTATGGTACGTTAGGCCAGCGTTTTTCGCTCGCTCATAACTCGAGCTGCTTTGTTTTAATTAAGCCATGAAGCTCGCAGAGCTTATCGAAATGTCTTGTTCGAGGTCTGTTACCTCAGAAAAAAGTATCGCTCCTGACAGGTGATGCACATGTGCGTGATTAGCACACGTCTCCCCGCCATTGTGACGTGTAGACGCAGGGCGCGTTACCAGTAGAGGCGGACAATGAATCTTCTAAGATCATTGCAAATAAAATGTTTTTCCTGTGTTAAAAATAAAATTGTAGATCTGCATATTCTTCAACATCATTCTGTAAGCGTTCTGTAAATTCAGTATACTTTGTTTTGATTTAATATTTTCTTCATAAATATAGTACTTAAAGCATACTTTCAAAATGCATTTTGGTTATTTCCTAGGACCTAGATTAAATTAATTTCTTTTATTGTTTTATTTCACTTACCACACGTGGTTAAAACTATGTAGTCATATGCATTTTCTTTAGGCTTGAATAAAAATGCGTATTTTTTTTTAATGAAACTCATTAGAGCAAAAATTCAGTTCAATTAAAATTTGAACAGCCAGGTGTCTTAGAATCAGGTCACCTTCCGAAACCAAACAGCTGAAGTTAGCAGCTGGCTATGTCTGAATTTTTTGGAAACTCTCATCTTACCGCGTTGCGCTACTTCTTCCATCTGTTCGTGTTACACTGAAACCATGAGCACTAACCTGCATATATTACATAAGTAATTAGCATGTGCGAGGGTCTCTGCTTAGCTGGTTAGAGAAAGCGTTAGCTTAGCTGGTTAGCAACCAATGACAGGACACCATATGCCGAGAGGTGTCACTTCTCCTACATGCGTCCTGCAGTGCGTACAAATCCTGACGTTGCATCACTGCAAAATGAAAATTCGCAGAGCGGAAATATCGCTGCTGCATTTAGATGAAAATGAGGAAAAGGAACAAAGCAGGGATGTCAGAAAGAGCGTCCATAACGTTGTTTGATAGCAGCCATCATCATAGAGTCTGGGCGTCTGATTGGCTTCCCATTCGTCTCCTTCTTTATCTCTAGGGTTTCTTCCGCAGAAGCATCCAGAAGAACATGGTCTACACATGCCACAGGGACAAGAACTGCATCATCAACAAGGTTACGAGGAACCGCTGTCAGTACTGTCGTCTGCAGAGATGCTTCACCGTGGGAATGTCCAAAGAGTGTGAGTGTCATTGGCCCAGGTGCTCAAAACTCGATTTCTAAGCTCTTCGTCAGCGTTCCACCCAGTCCCCGTCGTTGTCTTTGTTCCACTTTCCTCCCAGATAGAATAGATGATCCCCTTTTTAAGGTGTCACCGCTTTGTAAAGGCATCACTCTTGGGTCCTGGGGTTGATGGGCCCGCAGTGTGTGACAGGCCGCGGTTTAAACGATCAGCACTTGTTCGTCGGTTCGTTTTAAAGGTGTTTGCCCTCTGACGGGTTGAAAGTAGGTCAGAAGCCCTGAGAGTATGAACTCTGTAAGCGCTCTGTGAATTCTGAGTCGCCTGGTGTAACCTCTCCTGCTCTTTACCCACAATGCACTTTGAGCTGGTAGCCAACATTATTAAATATTAGACTAACTTATAAAATTATAATGTAAGTCAATTTAGGGAAGGTGATGGAGCTGGTAATTGAATATTCACACACTCCAGTGGCTGTAATTGCTATCTTCTGGTGCCAGCATCACTACGGTTCGTGATTTTACTGCAGGTTATTTGCAGCCCCGTGATGGCATTACAACCCGACGTACGAGAAACACTTCCTACGGCCGAGATCCAGCTTCTTTTACCGTTTTGGGTTTTTCAACCCAAAGCATAAAATCAATTTCCATCATTTGTTTTAAGTACACTGAGTCACGGTCCCAGCGAAATCGCCCGTGGAAGCAAGCAAACTTTAGTTTGAAGGCACCGCTCCACTTAACGAAATTATTGCCGATTATATTCGGTGATTAAGCCATAGGTATACAAAAAATAATGTTCTACGCTAGCTGCTGTTTGCAACCCAGTTGTGTCTCCTTTCGTTTGGTGCTGTCCCTCTTCTCCCAGCCCCTGTAAGTTCACCGTGGCAGAAGATATATTTAATAAAGGACTCTGAACACCACTTAAAGTGACTGTATTCAAAAGGTGTCAGGTTTTCTGCAGTCAGACGTCTCAGTTAAATTAACAATGACAGCAGTACATGCACGGGCGGCTCATATGAGTCATACTTATAGCGCGTATGGTTTATTCAGCTGTGACCAGTAGCAAAACTATATCCGTAATTAGACACCACGCTCGTGCCGTTTAGTTTGCTCTACAAATATTCCTTTGGTGACCTTTGTACATCTTGGGTCAATGACTGTGTCTTGGAAATTGCCGGTAGGTGACGTAATGTTGAGGCAACGCCGTGTTATTCTCTTTGTCAGGTGAGGGACCTGGTTAGCGAGGGGCAACCTTCATATGGGACGGGTCAAAAGCCATATCAAGACATCGCAGATTCGGCTGATTGTTACCAGGTTATTGATTATACTGATTAAACCGTAATGCCGGCAGAGAATGTAGGTGATGTGTGTTATAGTATGTGTGAAGCAAAAACATTATTCCTGCTTGTAGGTGATAGGATCCTGCTTGGGATTTATCTTTCCCTTTGGTGCATATTAAATATCCATTTATGTTCATGGCTTTCTGTCCAATGGATCATTTGAATGTTCGGGCTCTATGAGGTTTTCGCTGTGGTTGGCCATTTTTCCATGTGGCAGTAATTTGGTTTCAGTCCATGGTAATTACACAGAGTGATTTGCCCATCACACAGTCTTCTGTACTTCCTAAATCACGGGCCCCGCTTCATTGCTCTGCCGACGGATATCCCCAGTGATTCCAGGCAGTATTTCACTCTAACGTGACGGATCAATGGCCTTCATCTTAACCCCGTGCATTTCCGTCATCCGCGTTACCTTCTCCCAGAGGATGGGGTCGCTCAGCCCCACCTGTGGGTGTTTCTCTTAACGCGCGATAAACACCAGGCAGCCCTCAGCCTGACCAGAGCTAACTGGAACTGCCGTCTCTCTCTCCATCTGCTTCCGGCCTCCAGATCCTAGCGCTCGTGCACTGTGCCTTCGAGCAAATTATATTTAAGCTCCGATGCCCTATGAATATTTCATTTCACAATCACTCTAATCTAACTTTTGCTTTTTTATCTACTCATACTATTGCTCGGAGTCATTTTTAATTAGCTACGCGTGGTTCGGTAAATAAAGAAAATTATAATAAAAGATTTACTGCAATTTAGTTTGAGTGCCGCAAGGTCGTTTGCGTTGCTGAAAGATTCTACCTGTCCATGCAGCTGTGAAGCACACGTGTGTCTACAAAGTAGAGGACTGATTTAATCGGCAATAAGATCACATCTTTTAATGAAGATGGTTTTCTGCTGCAGTTCTTAACATGGTTACCTATCGTACATGCATTACAAATCAAGCTGTCTGAATCATGCTAATATTTTCATAAATATTAGTTTGCATCAGCATTCAGTTTATTTACCAGGATGAGCTCTGTAATAAATCCCATATTTCATGGCTTTGACTCTCGATAATTTCAGAAAGCTGAACCGTTGTAGGAAAAGCGGGGTTTCCATTCTCCTTTTATTGGCAGCCAGCGCTAAACCCTGACCTTGCACACAATATCCCATGCAAACCATCCCAAGAGGTCAGCTGGCCAGCTAGGAATTACAGTCACGAGTCTGACTTAGATTACTGTCGATTAGGCTTTGACAGGAGCCCTCTGCGATGACACTGATCTGGCAGGGGGGAGTCAGAATGAATTAATGAGTTATAATAACATATTTACTCTCTGGAGAAGCTTTGCTTTCTCAAGTAGACAGCATAGCGGTTAAGGATATCGGCTCGGGTATGGAAAGTTGCCACTTTAAATCACAGTAAATTTTTTTCTTGTAAATCTCATATAAATGTTGTATAAATCAGTAGCAAATTACATTGGTTAAAAGTGAAAAAAGCAGTAAATTTCACCAGTGGAGCCCTCAGTTCATTTCCTTTCAGTCTGTAGATGTAGTATTGGGAGGTCTGAAGGATTTTTATCGGACGTTATAGAAATTCCTCTGCGTCGCTCCTGCTATTTCCGATCCGTCCCTAGATTTGCGTCTGCTTACTTCCTCACATTAGTGCCAGCTTTCTCCGGCTCCTCCGGTTCTCTTCCAAAGGCGCACGGGAAAATGGTGGAGTCTGACTTACTCCTAGCGTGCGTCTGTACGCATGAATATGCGAGCAGGTCATCCCCCACCCGGAATGAACAGACGGTTATTAAAAGCGGACGGCTGGATGCATGGAAGAATTAGAATGTTGGCATGGCGTGGGGGAAATTTAGATTAGCCGATTTTTTTAATTAAGAGCAACTTCTATTCCCTCCATCCACCCTTTTTCCATCCGTGGCCTAGACATGAACCTGTAATGGCTAGTATTTTCTATACCACCCACGTGCCCACAAGATGCACGTTTTTCACGGTGATTCTCTCTCTGTCTGTCTCTCTCTCTCTCTTCCTCTGTCTCTCTGTCTATCTCTCTCTTCCTCTCTCTTCTCTATCTATCTATCTATCTATCTATCTATCTATCCCTATTTCTCTATCTCTCTCTCTCCAGCGGTTCGCAATGACCGAAACAAGAAGAAGAAAGAGTCCCCCAGGCTGTTTGTGGAGAAGTGCGAGCTGAGCGCCGAACTGGAGGCGACCGTCGAGAAGATCCGCAAGGCTCACCAGGAGACCTTCCCCTCCTTGTGTCAGCTGGGCAAGTACACCACGGTGAGTGTCCTCCTCCAGGGGACCACCGCGAGCCCCTGCCAGAACCACCAACCTAACAGCTTGACCCTTGAACTCCCCTAGTCCACAGTGGTGATGAATAGCTTGGAAAGTTCCAGAAGACAATTACTCATCTGCAGTTAATGCTGTTCTCAATGTGGTTCACTGACTGCTTACAACTGCTTGTGCCATTTTATCACTGCCAAATGATGCCACTCTTAAGATGTTGTTTTATCTAATAAGCATAAAGACATCACTTTATTTTTATAACGTCAGCACCACTGTATCATATTACTGATATTAACAGTATAATCCGACATTGTGGGTATTGTAGGGAAGACTGATATCAGCTAGACTCCATAGCTTGTTGTAGTCACGCGTTTTCACGGCAGCGTGCTCCTCTTATTGCGATCACTATTACTCTTCACCTAAATTCAGCTTTGCATTTATCTTGCATTTTCAAGTCATGGATTAGTGTCCTTTGAACCGCCTTTAGGGGAGCGCTGGGAAAAAAGATAAGGTTTTCCACCCGGCGCTTGCTGGAACGGCAGATTGTGCCGGCGGTCACGTGAGCAGCGGCACGCAGAGTCCCAGCATTCCAGGGGAGAATAACAGGCACTCTTAGATGGGCCAGACACGTCCTCCCTCAGGAGACTGGGCAGGAGCCGGCAGTAGTGGGGAAGAGTCCAGTCTTTAGCACGTTAGCTAGAGCTGGAATGTGCTGGAGCTCTGCATTTGAGGGAGAAATCCCTCGGATTTGAATTTGCTTTGATGGCGTCCAGTGTCTCGTCTTATTGTTTTTGAAGACAGATTGTCCAGGAATGGATGTGAGTAAACCTGCCAAAGCTGAGAAATCACCGCGCTAACAGGAGCGACTTTGTTGACGCGTCCATTGTTTGCACCCAGAAGATCCGTCACCCTCAGTGGTTCGATTCGGCTTGTACCACGCGCAGCAAACCTCGCTTTCAACTGTTTAAATGACGCTCCAGCCAAGGGCACAAGCCCAAAAACAGAATTTCCAGAAAGCACAGGCTGCTCTCACGGTGCCTGCGTGTAGGGTTGGTGTCATTTTTCATATCGTCAAACCATCCAGACATCGCATCGCTGTATATGGTATTTTGATGGTACTGTATTTTCAAAAGCAACTACTGAAATCTTGGCAATAAAATGCGATGGGGGTGGGGGGGGGGGCCATCCCCCGCAATATTTTTCACTCAGTTAATTTTGGCGTCAAGATTTCAGAATACTGTGATATACATAAAAATACCATGGAATACCCAAAATATTGCAGAATACCGTATTTTCGTAAAACTGTCCAAGCCTACCAGTACCTGTACTTATTTGGACAAAATGCCCCTTTTGTAATCCATCCATCCATCCATCCGTCCATCCATCCATCCATCCGTCCATCCATCCATCCATCTAGCCGTCCATCCATCCATCCAGCCATCCATCCATACATCCGTCCAGCCATACATCCATCCATCCATCCATCCATACATCCATCAATTTTCTGTAAACACTTGTCCTATTCAGGGTCACGGGGGGTCTGGAGCCCATCTCAGGCTACGGGGGCACACATTTTAGGAGTGTGCTATTACATTCCAGGTGTCCCCCCAGGTTACAGTGCTGAGTTGAGCGTGCTGAATTGGCTTAGCTTCAAATCTGACAAGAAACCGGCTTCGGCAGACATTTCGGTCGTCGCTTAAAATGTCTGACACTGACAACTAGGCAACATATATATAAAACCCAGGCACCCCGACGCCTGATCTCTGCAGAGCTGACAGCATCTCACGCCGTAAATCATCAGGCTTTGTGTCCCTCATTTTCCCGCCACAAGTCTACTCAGGTCTGCACCTGGGCTGTAAGTGAAAAGCAGCCCCTCGCTGGCCCCCTCGCTGGGCCCCTCGCTGGGCCCCTCGCGGTGCTCCCACCCCCTACGCCAGTTTAGAGGAAAACAAGAAACACACAGTGCGTTTTCAAACCAGTGTATGGGACCAACAGCCCCCCTCCCGCACTGCATGGTCTGGGACCAGCACTGGTGCTGAGAATCCAGGTAGCAATGGTTCTTAGGTGAGATCCTTACCACCCTCTGTCTGTGTGTTCCTCTCATTGGCTTCCCGCCTGATACATTCTGCAACTTACTTTGACCTGTGAAGCTGTATGACTAGGAAACATATGTTTATGCAGTAAAGTCAAGGCCTGTCGTTAAGTTTTCTTTCTGCGTCAGGGTGTCTGCGGAATTATCCACACAACTTGCAGGAATATCCATATACTGGGTATTTATAACAGTTAAACAGACGCGTTAAAGACGTTACGTTAAACTCACAGTAATATCTGCCAACAGACACTGATCAAATATCATTTAACTTAAACTTGTTGACATTTATTACCATTTAAGCATTTTAATGGCCTTTAACCATAATCATTGATGATACTCATATATATCACGCCACAGTGTTTATCAGTGAGGTGTTTTATGTGAAAATTAAGTTAAAATTTAGATCTTTAAATTGGTTTTCATGGCAGGTAAACATTTGAATCCTCTTTTTTTCCAAGTTATACAGTGAAAATGGTAGAAGTTGAACACAAATATGCCCAAAACAAACAAGCTGGACAGTGGTAATGATGCTGATTAAAATTGATGGTTACATTTCTGTAATTCTAACGACTGTGTAGTGTATATATTTTGTGTACCGTTGTGATAGATACTGCGAATGTGAAATGCAAAATAGGGAAAATATTGGTTGAATTTGAACGGTTGTAATTTGTATCACTCAAGTTCGTTCTCAGGAAGACGGCAGGACTCTTGTAATTAAAGCGCGTTCACATGCTTTTAATGCAGTTCCATGGGCTGAATCGTTTGCTTTATGTTTACAGCGCATATTAAGTTATCATATAACAAACTTATGGCCCATAAGCGCTTCCAGCAGCTCATTATATGGTGCTATAAATCAGTGTTAGGCATAAAGACATAAGAATGTCCTCAGTGGCGTGAGGGGAAGCAGGCTGCCTTTGCTGGATCACATGAGCATATTTAGGTGTCATGCCGTCAGACCCGGAGTGCGCTTACAGGGGTCCCACAGAGACATTATATGTCTCGATGAGGCTCACAGAGCTCGTTCTGAGTGATTTAAGTACAACATAATGCCTCTTTCGCTTAACCGGGGATAATATTTAGTGCCTTTTCCGTGCCTGCCGTTCTCCCAAGATGGGACATATATCCGCCCTTTTATGTCTGCCGCCGTTTGCCCCCAGTAAATTTATTCGGTGCGGCGGCAATCCGTCTGCATGGGGGCCGGATGGGCGGCAGTCGTCTCGGCCAAAGCGCCTCGCCGTCACGCCGCGACCCGCAGCGCGGCAAATGGCGTCCGCCGTGTAAATTGGCCGCCGTGCGACGCCTTTGAGCGGAGAAAATGAGACGAGACTAAAAAAGCAAGACGTTCATTTCCACAACTCGCTTTTATCTGTGCGTCTCCCCCCCCCCCACTGTTAGATAATAATATTCCACAAAAACACATACATTTAGGATGCTATCTGATGTTTTCCTTTTGTGGATAAAATTAAATTATATTTGTCGATTGATTAGCTTTTAAAATTACTGTCTTCCGTATAACCATCTAAATCAGACCCCTTTATGAGAGATATTAGACGCTATCAACAGTCTCATATTTTATAAACATTAATAGTAGCTGCATCAGTGTTTTAATTTAAGCGATCTGCTGCGTCAAGGTTCAGAAGACCACACTATCCAGCGCTATTTTATATATCAGGCAGGTTCACACATCTCAGTAAACATGCTTAGATCCCCTGCAACAGCAGAGAGTCTGACTGCTCTCTGACTCTGCTCTGACTGTGAAATCTGCCCTCGGGCAAGGAGCATCACTTCAGAGCGAAAGTCTGACCTAACTGTACATCCCTGTCATCCCTGCAGCAACTCAATGAGCCAGAACAAAGGAGCTATTCGCGGCAAACCTCTGAAACAAGGTGCCGTTCTAAAATAGCACCGCCCTCAGACTTTTATACCCTGGCTACTCTCCACCTGTACGCAGACGCTGGACATTTCGCTCTCTCTCTCTCTCTCTCTCTCTCTCTCTCTGTCCCACAAGCAGTCTCAGCACAGCAGAAAAAAGGATGCATGGTTATCCAGCATTTCCCAGTTTACCGAAAGCGCTGACGGGCGAGAGCCCTCTCCTAAAGGTGACATTAATGGGGGCTAAATAATAGAATTTAAACGAGTGTTCCTAGAAGCTTCTGGAATGATGCTTTAAAAATAAAAGGCATCTCATGTGGGGGGCGCCCGGCTTCAGTCAGCGAGCCTGACAGGCAGCTTGTGCAGAACAGAAGTGGAAGAGGACTTCTGAAAGGCAACTACAGTAAATCGCAACAGTATAATAGCATATCTCATCCAGGCTGCATTCACAGTTCATTGACCGGGCAATTAACTCTGTTGATTTAGGCCTTTGGGGGAGGAGGGAGGGAGAAGAGCAGGATCCTCATGCACCCCCCCCCTGCCCCGGGCAAATTCATTATTTGTGTTAACTCTGCCTGTTTTAAACATTTAACCTTGTGCCTCTTGCTCTCCTTGTGCACCTCCTGCTTCCTCCCGCCGTCTAACCCGTCACAGGCCCCGTTCTCGGGCCACTGCCCCCCCTCCCCCCTTGTTTCCTGTAACTCTGGTGAGCTCCTCCGTGTGGACATGGCCGAGGCCCCTGTGGATGCGTTCGAGCTCCCCGTCCTTCAGCTTTACTTCTCACAACCGAGGCTTTAATTGATTTTCCATTTGAACAAGTACAGCTCTGGTCTGCTCTTGCTCTCCTGTGAGACACGCAGATATATACAGGTGAGAGGAAAATTGTTGCCCACACACCTTATGGAATCGCTGCTGAACCCAAAAATATTCTCACTACCATGTGTCTGCTTTTCAGTTAGAACGAGGTACTGTACTGCCCTAAATTAAAATAGATATTCCTGTCATCATAATTAGTATATTGAGGTTTTTTTCCCAGGCATATGATGTTAATTACAGGAGAGTGACGTGCCATTTTTGTGTGACCTTCTGCGAATGAGTGCAAAGTCACGGCGAGTATAAAATTATGGAAGGGATCGGTGTTAAGGAGCTGGATTTGCGATTGTGAAGAGTTAACCTTTCAGCAGGTAAGTCAGGATACGTTAGATGGTGTGTCTTAGTCAAACCCGTCAGCCTGGTAGGGAAAGGTGGGCTAACTTTCGGGCGTTTTCTGATTGGCGGCGCGTATCCGGCAGTGTCAAAACAGAAACGCCGGCACTCTTCGAGTCAGGCCAAGGCGCCAAGATGGCACAGCCTCATGGAAAATGATGATTTACGTCTCATGGGACGTGACATGTATGGTTGAGTCCCGCTTCTCCTCTCTTTGCCCGGCCGCAGAATTCGAGCGCCGACCACCGCGTCCGCCTGGACCTGGGCCTTTGGGATAAGTTCAGTGAGTTGGCCACCAAGTGCATCATCAAGATCGTGGAGTTTGCCAAGAAGGTGCCCGGCTTCGGGGGGCTCACCATAGCCGACCAGATCACCCTCCTGAAGGCCGCCTGCCTTGACATACTGGTAGGTATCGCTGCTGCGTCACCTGTCATCTCAAAACGGAACTTGTGTGGGAAGCTGTCAGGTTGTCTAGATGAGACATATTTTCCACAATTTGGTTTTCATTTCTCTGAACCTCCCAGTAGATATTACAACCGCTCAGCCATTTCAGTCTTTTAAGCAGATGGTGTACCAACACATCTTCAATCAGCAGTGAGCTCTCTCAGAATCATTTCACAATATCCCTCTTGGTATCCCCTACTGGAACCTTCCGTTAGTTAATCGCTAAGCTGAAAAACTGAAAAACACACATGGCTGTAGCTGAGTAATTGGGCAGTTTATAGCACAGCGTCATCATTTAATTCAGCTATTTGAAAAACAGCCTTTTATTTAAAAATGGACTTTTTCCATCCTTTCTGGAATCATTCAGTCGCATTACTAAAATGAAAGCTTAGGCTTGCACTTTTTCACTATGGGTGTGTCTTTTTTTTACTTCATTGTATGATTTGATACAAGGAAAATGCTGGACCGAAACAGAGAGGGGTGCACGTAGGTGTACGTTTCTGGGGGTGGCAGTGCATGCCCCCCCATACGGCCACACAGCTCTGTGATCTGATTATCTCCTCCCCCAGGGGAGAGAGGATACACACCGATTTCAGCCCCGTGGATCCTACACTGCTTTCTGCTTTAAGGTCCAGCAAATATATGACTAATGAATCCCGAAATATCGTTACACAGAAGTACGCAGTGCTTCTCCTTGCATTCGGGTAACCGAGTCTGAGTTTGACGCTACGACGTTAGCATATTGCTCATGTTATTCTAAAATGTTTACAGCTGACAGTTTAATCATTCATAGTGTAAATAAACATGCCGGCATATTTTGTTTTGCGCTAAAATTATTTAGCTATCACCTGGACCACAGGTAGGTACCGGCCACAGGCTTCGATTAGCTACTACATGGGAAACAGCTGTGATTGTTAGATTAAATTTGATTTAACACATTTTCCCACTGCAACCATAATAAGTGCACTACAATGATGATTACTTTTTAAGCCAATTAAATAGAGGCAACGATGTGACCTTAGTTTTAAGACACAGCTGGCTCGCTGTGAGATGGTGCTTTCTACAGTAAGTACGTTGTGTACATTTGGGTTGTTTTGTTTTTGGAATTTGCCGGTGCTCCTTGAATGTCGTAATTTTTTGACATCTGAGGGCTGAATAATGGGATTGGACCGGCAGTGTTTCTGGGCTCGGTCCCTGTGAGTCACACTAAACATGTTTTATTCTGTTTCATCATGTGGTGGCTCTTGCCTCTCAGCGACAGCGCTGTCCTCCAAAATCCTCAAAGGCTGGACATTTTCATGGCTCCCCTCCTGGCAGGGCTGTGTCTTCATAATGTAATTCCTGTGCTTTCATTTTTCCCTTTTTCAAGACACTCTCTTTGGCATTACGGACAACTAAATGTCCTTTTAGATATTAACATTATCAGTGGGGGGTGGGTCTGGCTGCACGCTTGACATGAAGGGCGAGGCGGACATACTGGAGCGGAGAGGAGGGTGGTTTGGAAATGTGTGATGTCTTCGGGTCAGAACAGGACCTCAGACAAGGCACCATATTGTAGATGATTCAAGACATGCAGAGAGTGTGAAAATCGTATGTAAAGCCCAAACTCGAAGTGAGGGACCATTGGTGCAATCGGGAGACCAAACGGGAGACCAATCAATTGTAACAGGCCGAGAAATCAAATGCCTGCAAACTTGTAAAAGCGAAGTGAAAATACTTGGAACCGAATCAAGAAGTGTCTCTGTGATGCTGCTGGCTCATCATCTCTTTCTGCACCCCATAGATCTTGAGGATCTGTACCAGGTACACGCCTGACCAGGACACCATGACCTTCTCGGACGGCCTGACGCTAAACCGCACACAGATGCACAATGCTGGCTTTGGGCCCCTCACGGACCTGGTGTTCACCTTCGCCGGCCAGCTGCTACCCTTAGACATGGACGACACGGAGAGCGGCCTGCTGAGTGCCATATGCCTCATCTCCGGAGGTAATGCCCGAGCAGGAAGCCCCGTCCGCCACGCGGCATGAGGAGCGGAGCGGGCACACACAGGCTTTGCCGTTAAGGCCGTCTACTGTCAGTGTTTCTGTGTGTTTCTGTTAAGAATAATAGAATAATAATAATAATAATAGTAATAATAATAATAGCTCCTATAGCTCAACAAGTAAAGTTCTAAGAAGTTAAAGGGCATGAGTTCAAATCCCAGTGAGCACACATCTTCCTTCTACCGTTAGTCGCTTAAGATAAAATCTGCACATAAGTGAGTAAATGTAGTAGAATAATATATGGGATGTACTATGGGTGTCCATTCCATCGTTATCTCCGACATCCTGGAAGCCTGAAAATAACAGTTGGAGACTTCAGATGTTAACGTGCTAATTTAAATGAGTTGTCTGAAGGTAAGTCTACACTGACTCTGTACTGATCAACACAACAGGGGCTCATGATGACAAATTATTTTGCGTTGTTTAATTACAAGGAAACCACAAGCTGTGCACCCTGCTTTTCATCTAGATGGTGAAAATTTGAAGAATCTTTAAATCTCATCTCGTTTTGGCCATAACCACACACTTCTGAGTGGAATTAGACTGAATGACTCACGCTGAGTAGCATGAAACTTTTAATTAGTGCGACATGAGCTACGTGGAATTATGGGTTTCACTTACAGGGGTTCTAAATTGTGTGTGTTTACAGTGCCATCTACTGGTCAGGCGTAGAACAGCTGTTAAGATTTTTCCCCAAAAAGCATTCATAGTATTGGAACCTGCTGCTCTATTTTTCAACCACTTACTCTGGACAGACTGGGACTTATCCCTGTCAGAAGGTACAAGGCATGGGTACACTTTGGATGGAATGGCAGCAGGGCACACTCACAAGCTGAACGCTGGCAATGTTGAGATGCCTTCAGCCAATCTTCATGTGTTTGGGCCGAGGGAGTAAACCTCACATGACAGGAAGAACATGCCAGCCCCATATGCAGAACGGAGCTGGGATTCCAGCCCTCAGTCCTACGCAATATGCCACATCAACAGCTATCATCAAATAAGCATTTGATCAGTGTTCTGATGTTGTGCTTAATATTCCAGGATTTGTTTTTGTATAGCTGAGTTTCCTTGGCACAGCTTGAGTAAGCTGTAGCAGTTCTTATGAAAGTGCTGCCCATGATGTCATGATTATCGACCTGAATGTCTGTGAGGGATGAAAGGGGAGGGGATCTGTCAGACGGCAGCACCTTGAGCTTTTTGGGAACGGCCTTTCAGATCGACAGGACCTGGAGGAACCCTCCAAGGTGGACAAGCTGCAGGAGCCTCTTCTGGAAGCTCTGAAGATCTACATCCGCAAGCGCCGGCCCAGCAAGCCGCACATGTTTCCCAAGATCCTCATGAAGATCACAGACCTGCGTAGCATCAGCGCTAAAGGTCAGTCAGCCAGGCCCTGCAGTGCCTCTCTGCCTGGGTCGGACACTCACTGCTGACTGCTGATGTTGCGTCATTTTTAACTGGCAAAACAGGCATCCACTAAGGTACTTATGTAACAGGAAGTTTAGTGGTTGTTTTTTTTTTGCAATCAGAAATATTCCAAGTTTAAGAATAATGTAAGTCCTAAGTTAAAACAGGTTTTATCTTTAAATTCTTTTTGGAAAGATATATTCGATTTCTAATTTTTGTGTCCAGCACAGAGCTACATTAGGTCTGTGGAAGTATAGAGCAGAGGGCAAAGGCCATCCTGGAACAGGATACTAATCCATTTTTGGGCACCCACAATCACACACTATGGGCAATTTAGAGGCTTCCCTTAACCTAGACCACATGTTTTTTGTACTGTGGGAAGAAAGGGAGTAGGATGTAAGGACTACAAGACATCGAGGAAAGAAGCAATGTTCTTGTCACACAGAGCCAGGGGTGGGATTCAAACCCGCAGCTCTGGAGATGTGAGGGTACAACAAACCCAATGGGCCACCACACCACACCACCTACCAACCAACCAGAAAGCATGTGTGATGGCGTTCACTGAGGCGCTGAACGGTGTATGTCTCCTGCCAAACAGGTGCTGAGAGAGTCATCACTCTGAAGATGGAGATCCCCGGGGCGATGCCACCGCTCATCCAGGAGATGCTGGAGAACGCTGAGGGCCAGGAGGAGCAGAGCTCCGAGGATAGCAGCCCGAGCGGGAGCTGCGGTCCGGGCCCCAGCCTCTCGTCCCCCGAGTCCACAGACTGCCCCGTGCCCCTCGACTGAGCAGCTCTGGCTTCAGGCCACAGCTTCAGATCCACACATAAGACATTCCTTTGCACAGCTGAGAAGAAGGATCTGGCAGATACGCGGTCGAACATTGCCTCGTGTTCCCTTGGATGTAATGACACAACCTGACCACAGAGGACCTAAGCTTAGTGTATAAATCTTTCCTTCCTAGCCTTCAACATTTCAAATTGGGTAACTTCATTATGTTACAGCCCTAAAGAAAGGAACACATTTCAGGCTTCCATTGTATAGGTTTATATCTGCATGGTGGATCCAGCTCGCTAAACAAACTGAACTATCTTTGTCATCAGCGTACATTGTACATACCATTGTATGGCTCAACTTTTTCTATGATTGTTGTGGTGCTTTTGTCATAAATATAACAATGTTTGAGGCAATACTTCAAGCAAAAGCTGACTTATTAAAAGTCCTTGAAATAGTCACACAGAATGTTCTCGCGTATAGATAGTTTAGCAATGTATTTACATCTGTTAACCGGTCATATTTAAAGATGGTTTTTAACTTTGTGTCCCCTTGCCGTTACTCAGTAGGACTGCAACAAGCTCTTCAAACCCGGATGACCTTACAGCCGTCGATTGAGGACATTATTACTGATTTTACTCTTGGCCATGAAAGTGCAATTCTTTCATCCAGTTCAGTACGTTCACTACATTACTTAACAAGAAGTATCCCGTAGTAAAACACAGACACAGTAAGTTGGAGCTCTAGGTCATTTTAAAACCACGACAGAGCTTTTCTTTTATGTAGTTTGTGTTTACGTCTTGCTGCTGGCAGAGCAGCCATGGAATCACTCACACGCTGAGGGGACTGTACATTATAATTAATGAAGCGGTTACTTACCTAGTTATTGTGCCAATTACTCGTCGACTTCTCCCGTATCATTGTGCTTGGTTTGGGCTGTTTGCCTCCGAATGTTTTCAGATTGGCACTAAGTCTAGAATGCATCATTCATTGTTAAAGCACTTATCAAAACCTGATATATTCAGATACATTCTTCGATAACGTTACTTAAGATAAGTGGAATAATTAGATTTTACTCTTAAATATATCTTTTGAATGAACTTACAAATGTTGGTACGTTTTCTAAGTCTTAAGTTGCATTTCATTTTCCAGGGTCTAGTGTTCCACTATAGACATCTGAGAGGTAAATTCCCAATATTTATGTATTAGCTGATATGAATGGGCTACATATTAGACTTCATTTATAAAATGCTACCACTAAATATACAAAAAAAAAATCATGTTCTGTTTTAGATAAAGCAAACATTATTCAGACACATATTTTCTACCAAAACAAAGTTGTGTTGGGCAAGGTATCATTTGAATACCTAGTATATTGTTCCTGAAAACATCGCACTTTCCTTTACGTAAAATGAGTTCAACGAATACCTCGTTATGCAATGGATAATGCAGACAGGAAGAAAAAGGCCTATTTATGCAGTGTTAAAGAATGTCTTATTCAAAGCAGTATTTTAGCAGTAAATATTGCAATATGCCCCCTCAAAAATTGGGTCTTACCCCCTTTTTGTATCTCAGTAGACTGGAATGGGTGGAGGCACCTGCGAGTTCTGCTTTATGACTGAGGTATGAAACACAGACACAGTCTGCTCAATCTACCCATAAGGCATCACCAGCTTCATGCTGAAACCCGGCACCGGCAGCAAACGGCAGGGAGCAGACAAATTAGGCTAAAGCCTTATCATGGTGCCTGCCTGCCAAATTGGTGTGTTATCAAACAAAAAAAAAAATCAGGCACCACATCATGCAGTGTCGCCGAGGAAGATGTTGGAAGATTCTTGGCGTTGCTACTCATGCACACATCTGATGTTGATGGTGAATAACATGTTTTAAAGGACAGCAACACATCTTTAACTCATACTACTGCTTTCTTGGTGACTAAACCTGTTTCCATGGGAACCGTGTAGTGAAAATTTTATTTATACTCTGTTGAATGTGTATTTTAAACAGTGCTTCTTCAATAATTAACAATGCTTTTTATGTTCTTATACTGTTTACCATTGACTTCATCGGCAAAACAATTAAATATATTTATTTTTAAATAAACATGTATAGTTTTTTCTTTTAAAAACCTACGCATTTCTCAGCCAGTTACAATGACGGATTTAGTCTGACATGTCGGAATACATGTATATGCCAAGACACCCCCCAGCCCGTCCACTGACTAAGTGCCCAGCAATGCTTAACAACAGTCTGGTTTAAGTGGAAGCCTTAGGAATGTGTGACAAGTGGAGCAATTACATCGTCTGATTTCCTGAATCTCATATCCAATCTAGGGGACTATCCAAGGAAGCACAGAGCACAAGGCAGAAGACACTGTGGACACTGGATGCCTTTGAACAAATAGGTACAAAACCTTACATATAGAAAGTGGTGTAGCGTGGTCTGTCGAATGAACGTTACCATCAGCATAAATTTTGTGTATATAAATATATACACTATATAAACATACATATCGGTGTACTGTTAAGAGGATTTCGTCAATTCAAAGTATGTGAAAACGTGCATTTATAAATTGAAATTCTTCTCACAGAAAACAATATGCAATAAATAAAACCTAAAACAATCCCTTTTATCAGTTTCCCCATTTTGCATCATGTGAGAAACTATCGTGGAAAAAAAAAACAAAAAACTTGAATTCTAATAAGCACAGAGCATTAAGAATCAATGCTTTACTCAAAGTATTAAAACTAATTAAAATTAACTATCAATGATTTAAATCCGTTTTTTTTAACATTATTAACAGATTTATATATAAAGAAAGCCTGTCTGACCCAGACTGCAGCGGCAGGGACCTAGTTGCTGAAAGCAGCCACCATCGTATGTCGAGCGTATGCAGGCTTGGCTCTGGCTATGCTGTGCCCTCTACTGATTTTGTACATAATAACAAAACCAGAACACAAGGCAGCATTTCAAACAGGTGATCTAATAGCTGAGAATACATGAGGAGTTCCGGACTCAGAGCTCCAGCGGGGATCCGTTTTGATACTTTGCGGTGGATGATGCCGATACTGCGGATTTGTTTACACGACCACAACGCGCTTCAATTAGAAGATGCGCCAGATGAATGGCGGTCTCCATGGAAACGGAGATGGCACACGTTTTCACCTTGACGTGGCTGTCCCACTGGGACGTGGGTGTCTGTCACAGGGGTTTAAAATTAGAATACCATTTCCAGCCAGTGCCACGCCTGGCTGCCTGTTCTCCGTACTAATGGGTGTGGGTCACAGCATTATAATAACATTAACAATCATGCTGCCACCGTCAGAATCACAGGCCAGAGAAATCATTCCATTTCGTTAGACTGAAGGGTCTGGATCTAAGTGATTGTAAGGTATGCGTGGCTGTACCGTTGCCCAAGCCTCACGCGTGTTCCATGTTCAGGGCTTGCCCTGCCCTGCCCTGCCCTGCCGCTGCCTTCCCTTTCTGCAATGACTTTTGGATGTTTTTAACACTTCCTGGTAACTACATCTCCATAATTAATCATTCGCCTCTGAAATGCTTCATCTCCTTTCAGCATATTTCGACATAATGACTGGTAAGAGAATAATCATGGCTTGAAGACCCTGTCGAGGATGAATGTTCCTGAAGACTCCTGCAAATATCTCAACGCTGTGTTCCAAGATAACCTTTAGCGAGAGTCCATTAATACGTTCTTAATGATGAGCATTAGCACCTGATGAGGAAGATGATGGACCGCAACAACCACAGCTGTGGCCGTTTTCTAACGAGTAATGTTTAACGGCCAATCATATGTAAAATAAACAAATTTCTGCCATGAGAGCTAACCGAGCTTGACTAGAGAGAAGCTCCCAGTGAAGAATCTTTTTCTGATTAAATTACGTTGGAAATGTGCGTCCAACCTAACGGGCGACCCTGGAGTGACTCTCTTGTCACGGAGATCTAGTTAGCCGTGTCCGCCACCCGTGAGTAGATGATTAGATTTAGCGGCACTTAAGCCATTTTTTTTACAGGGTGGTGTGCATTAGTGTCGGGATAATTAGCTGCTTCTGTTTGCTGTCAAGAAATATGGGTAGTGTGCATCAATGAAGCATATCTGTCAATGTCAATATATTTTATGTATGGCAAATGAACTGTAGGTATGGCTTATTTAAGCATCTATGGCTTTAGACAGATATACAGCTTGGAGTTTGAGTATTCTTGGTAGGACTCTAGACCAGCTCTGGTGGGAGAACAGGTTCTCGCGTCTGTTCAAGGCCGCTGACCAATCCTGCCTCCCCTCATGAATCTATCGTGTACTAAGCCTTGTCCTCGTCTCCCTGTGCTTCTATTCTACTTGCGTGTCCCTGAAAAACTTCCATGTGGTTCTGCATCAATGACCTCAACATCTCTTGTGATCTCTGCTTTACCCCACCTGCCTCTTCTGACTGGGCCACTCTGATGTCACCTTCAGCTCCTGTCCCAGCTGTGGATGCTCAACCTGCCACATAACCCTCAGCGAGCACAGGGGTGTAGATGATACCTTGTACAACTTACATCTCCCTATAAACTCATTAGTACTGCACCTAAAAATGTTTTCAACCCAGTAAGGGCCCCAGGCATGTTGTGACCTGATATAAGCTGGGCAACGAACGCTTAGCAGTTTGACCTACAGCTGTATCAGGTAGTATATAACCTCTCATATGCCAGGGACCGACAGGGACAGCCCTTTCTGACAGGAAAGTTCACTTCTGCAATCTGGCCATGTGTGCTACTCAATGCACTATTCTGGCCACGAAATTCGGTCATCTCTGACGCGGTGTATCATATGTTGGAGTTTGGGAGGTCTTAGGAGACCCCTCGAGCACCTTACGTCCTTCCAATGCAAGCAGAAAACCTACCGTGGTATAACCTGGGAACAGGAATGCTATAGCAGCGTTTCTCAACTGTTGGGTCGTGACCAATATCATTTTCAGTGGGTCGTGGGGTGCACGCGTACCAAAAAATTACTCATTAAACGTGGATAATAGATACCATCATTTTGTAGACACTGTGAAGCAAACAAAATAATAGAGATCGGGTTTGAACTCTAATGGTTCCTATTGTTTTACAGCTTCGCCATGGGTCCTATGCAATGTCATCTCCAATAAAGAGTTACCTTTTACCATCCCAGCCCCCACTCACCGCACCCAACCCCCCTTCAGTCGTTGCTGCCCAGGTCAAAAACTTCTATCTTGAAATTGGGTTGTGACTTGCTGACCAAAGAATGACGTGGGTCCTCAGGCTACATCACTGCTCTATAGCACTGTATGGGTCTGCAAGGGGGTGCAGAAACAGCACAAAGTCGTGGAGTAATTTGCATCATGAAAGATGGACGGTATTCTGCCAGTTACCAGTTTAATGAAATCCAGATGGCTCTGTTTAAAGTAAATTCCTTGTTAGAGTGTTTCATTGGGTCAGCTGAGAAGATGGGAAAAGTCATCTTCTCCCAGTGACCTCTGTCATGGCTTTAAACAAGTGATGTTCTTTGTTTTGCTCAATTTTTGTAGGGGGGGGTGGTCTTAGTAGCCTGCATTTTAGGGACCCATGTGATTAGATGCTTACAATAAAGTTCTTGGTTTGGTTAACCCTTCCGTCCACTGAGTTTGTCCCAGCCTATGAGCAGATAGGAATCCCAGACCTGCTACAGAGCTTTCTTGACATTACGGTGTCTGACGCTGCTCAGTTTTTTATTGATACAAGCAGATCTTTAAATCCTAAAATATATTTCTGAATAATTCCAATGCTTCCTTTTATGATTTATATCTTGCAGTATTTTATTCAAAGCATTCATTTTGATCAGGGTCACCAAGGAAAGCCAATGAATTCAAATCCTGTTAGACAAATCATGTTAAGGCGCGGACTCCATACACTTTACAAATCAATTTTAAAGTTAATGAATAATAATTATAATTACGGTGTAGAAGGTATTCTGTGACTAATTCAGTTTAATGTATTTCAAAAAATATATAGAGTCATCAATGCTTCAAACTTGTGAATTACACCATGTGTCGCAATCAGACACCTCAATCAAGCCTAATTAATTAAGACTTTGACTGGAAGGAAAGCTAGCATACCCTGCAGCCAACCAGGACTATAGAACTGTCAAATCCTGCCTGTCAATTAGGGTTAGATCTGACGTCTAATTCTAGAGTGTCGACTGTAATTGTATTTATTTGTATTAAGCAGTTTGAGGCTCACAGACGATGCCATTATACGTGTAGGTTTCTCATTTCAAAGAATTGTCATGGAATTTACATTTTATACATCTACCAGATGCCCTTTATCCTAAGTGACACACATTTGAGAAAGCAGGCTCACAGTATCTCTGCAGGCAAGGGCCTTGCTCAGGCAATCAGACTCTGCCAGCCAGGCGATCTGAACCGGTTACCTTCCGATCACAGGCATATCATTCAAGCCCAGTGAGCCGCACACCAGCCCACAGTGAAATAGGGGAAACAGCTTTAAAAACAGCTCTGGGTCTTCAATAAAGAATGCCTCAAAATCTGAATCTCAGAGGTGATGTAGAACAGCAGGAAGACTGAGGAATATCACTCATAATGAAAGGGTCCTTTTACAATATGTGCAGTTGTCTAATTTAGAGCGATTAAACTCTCTTAAGCTGACACTAGGCTGGCTGCTACTTCCACTGAATTATACTCGTTATACTGTATGGGATGAAATTAAATTCCAAACTGAGTCTATGTTAAACCACCTCAGGTATAAGCTGTTGTATGTGTAATGGTCATTCCACAGCTAAAAAAGAAGTCAATACGTATTTAATAGATTACAGATATTAAGATGTTTTTTAATGGCTTGTTAAAATGAAATACAAAGTCCATTACATTCATGTATCTATCCACATTCTTTATGTTGTTTCTTTTTAAATCTGCAGTTAATTATGCAGTTGGGATCTTTTTTGTTTTGAATCTTCATAAAACGTCATAAAATTTTTTTTTTTACCATTTTGATGTTGCTCAGCTGAATAAAAAAAAGTATCTTTAAGACGTTACAAAAAACATGCAAGAGAGCTGACCTACATGGATATCACTAACAATACAGGAGAATTAAGTAAAATACAAAGAATGTAGAGATAATTAAGTAACCAACAGCTTATCATGCCCAAGCATGCAAGCCATGTGCATTTTTCGACACATTGTTTTGGATTGTAAATATAAGTACCATATACAGACATGTATGTATGTAGCATATATGCTGTGCTTACAATACAAAGTGCTGCAAGAGTACCCTGAGATTTCAGAAACTGAAAGAATACAGTTAATTTAATATCTTTGGAAGAAACACACAGCGATATATTTTCATTGCCAGGCATCACAAACTATAACTCCAAAGTTTCAGAGAACTAAAAAATGATCCACTGTTCACCACAGAGGAAACCAATCAATGAATAATGATGTACAGATTCAGAAGTTATAAATATGCACTATTTAAACTTCACAGCATATACTAGTTTTCACATTGTTTTTCAGCTTTTCTCCCTTGATAATCATGTGCAATTACTGGTTTTGATCAGGACCTAAAATCGTAGGAGAGGCAATAATAATTGTGCATAAAGCAGAACTCAAGTAAAAGCAGGAGATTATGGATTCTGAAAACACTAAACTTCACAAACTGGAGGTTTAAAAACTACAAGTACATTCCCTCGTACTTTTATATACTAAAACTTATTCAGCAACGACAAAAGTAATCAGCTCCCTTTTCTCGAAAAAGCACTGCATTTTGATTTTAAATCCATCTGCTCTGTCAGTAAAATTGGCAGGCACAGGCTTATGAAAGCAGGCAAGCTTTTCTATTCAGCATGCCAGTCACACTACACATTGTAAGGCTACCTACTGTGGACCTAAGCTCGGTGAGAAGATAATTGTAATTCTACAATTCAGTACAAAAGCCCTATAATGACTGAGTCATTGTTTGAAGAATTTCATTCTTTGGTTTTCTGGCAGTAAGACCTGGACATCGGGAGTTCGTAAACGTGGTGCTGGGGTGAAGTCTTCTGTTCTTCTGTGTCTAAGGATGATGGCCACTCCCATTAACCAAAGTAAAGCAGCCAGCGATTAACTAAATACCATTAAGTTAAAATCAACAAACTGAAGATTTAATAGCCTACATTGAGACGCCATAATTTTTGATGTTAGCACCTCTTTTCATGGAAATTCAATAAGTCTGTGTTACAAATAGACATAAAAAGCTTAAAATAACACCAATATCATTATAGGCAGCAGAAACTTTGTAATATATATTCTGCATTAATTTTAATTATCATCCTCCAAAGAGAAGTTACTTATTGTGCAAGAACATACAATTAACTAAAAGCAGTTAGTTCACTCGTAAACTTTGCCAGTGCCTAACCATACTAAAGAATTTGGTTATCGTTCTGCTACAATGATTACAAAACCCCTGCAGGGGATCTAAAGTTGGTCAGCTACCTGTTCGATAATGCACTGCAGTATTCGTTTTCTTCCAATACCTCTTCAATTATAGTCTGAAAACATAGGAGGAAAGATACTATTTTTATTACCAAACATCTTGATGACTACAGCAAAAAGTGGAAACGTTTACGTAAGAATAGACAGTACTGAACACAAAAATGTAGTGCTTACCATCATCTGTTCATATGCTATTCCCTCCTGAAGACTTGCATAGTCAGAGTCACCTGTGAAAACATGACTATTCTCATGTCACATATGTGTTTAATATGTATGCGCTCTGAATACCATCAGTATTCTGCTTTCAATAATAAAATTCCTGTATTACAATAAGAATCTGGGTCCTCCTTTTCCAGGTTCTAACTCCCCAAATCCCACTAATCCATGCTGTTTAAAAGTACTATAGATGAGTAGAGAAGGAAAAAGTGTAAAACAACCACCTGTGGTCCAGGTACCATGGAAGAAAAATAATTCAAAGGTGCATTTTTATGGATTACTGCTACTGTAAATTCATGAAATAAACACAAAATTATGAAATTTGCATGAAAGTCCCCTTTTTCTGGGGCACTAAATTCCATAAAATTCTAAAAAAACTATTTTTAAATTTCAAGTCGTATAAATAAAGAGTCACATACATAAAATGGACAGTAAGCATTAACTAGAGGACTTTTTCTATCAGTTACATGAAGGATATTAATGGAGACCTTTATCATCAATGCAAAACCGTTTCCCCCCAAAAGACTGAATGGAGGATGACCAGTTCAAATCGATCTGCTCGATAACTTCTGGAGATCCTTGCAGGAGCTGTGGAGAAACCAGACAGTGTTTGAGAGATCAGAATGGGGGGAGGAACTTATTCATGCCAAGGAAGCTTTGGTTTTCGTTCTTTTCATTCCCCCTTTGGTATGTGTACTCTGATATTTGGCAGTGTTGTTCTTTGGCTAAGCATGGTTGTATTCCCACTTGCTAATCCTCCTGACCTTCTTTAGCTCCAGCTTAAGATTGTAAGGACTGCTCCTGGAGTCAAAGAGAGTCTTCTTGAACCTCTCAACTACCCAACGTTTAAAATCATGCTGAAGAGTTGGAGGAAGCTGGAAGACAACAGAACAAATGTGAAGGTCTAAAGAACATTGATAGATTTTTCCACTTGTAGATAAAGGAATTATTGTAGTCTGACACAAACGCGTAAATGTGATCAGTCGTCCATCCCTTTGGAAACACTCAAAGCAAAGCTGGACTAGCCCATATAACTCATCGAACAATCTTGTTCATATATTTTTCACTTTCTTATGATTTCAATATGTTACAGATAGTAGAAGATTTTTAGATTTAATAAGGATATTTGAGACATGATGTTTATTCTGCCTTCTCAAAAATTTTCTTGAAAAGAGAAAACATGGTTAAACCGCTAGCAGCAAACTATCCCAAATGGAGTGTAATTGTAGTTCATTCAGTTCATCAATCTAAATTCTATCACAGGCCCTTTCATTTGCAATACGGCAATATTTCAGGCAGAGAAACGACAGTCTTGCACCTGACTGATGTAGATAATTTTATGCAACAGCAGCAGCAGCGTCTGGATGGGGTCGTCGATTTGGCGAACTTTCCTCTGGGACACACATATCCCTGCCGATGCTATGAGGCAGAGAAAACCATTGATTCATGTGAATTCTGTGTATTCTAATGCTCTACTGCACCAGCATGCCAGCTCAGGAGTAAACCATATGGACAAAAATATTGGGAAACCTGACCATTACAACTACAGGAACTTTTATGACATCCCATTCTAAACCCACAGGCACGAATATGAAGTTGGTCCCTCTTTTGCGGTTATAACAGCTGCCACTCTTCTGGGACGGCTTTCTACAAGATTTTGGAGTGTGTTTGTGGGGATTTTTGCCTATTCATCCAGTAGGATGTTGATGAATCAGTTGTGAGGTCAAGCACTGACGTTGGATGTGAAGGCCTGGCTTGCATTTTAGTTTTAGTTTCCATTTTAGTTCATCCCAAAGGTGTTTGATGGGGTTGAGGTCAGGACTCTATGTGGGTCAGTCAAGGTCTTCCACAACAAACTCACCTAATTATGTCTTTATGGACCTTGCTTAGTGCACTGGGGCACAGTCATGCTGCAACAGAAAAGGGCCTTCCCCAAACTGTTCCCACAAAGTTGGAAGCATAGAATTGTCCAAAATGTCTTGGCATGCTGAAGCATTAAGAGTTCCCTTCACAGGAACTAGGGGGCTTAGACTAACCCCTGAAAAACAACCACATACCATTATCCCTCCTCCGCCAAACTTTACAGTTGGTACAATCCAATCAGGCAGGTAATATTTTCATCCAAACTCAGACTCGTCCATCAGACTGCCAGACAAAGATGTGTGATTCGTCACTCCACAGAACATGGAGTTCCCTCTTCCCCAGAGTCCAGTGGCAGTGTGCTTCACACCACTGCATCTGATGATTGCCATCTCGCTTGGTGATGTGAGGCCTGCATGCAGCTGCTCGGCCATGGAAGCCCATTCCATGAAGCTCCCAGCACACAGTTTTTGTGCTAGAGTCAATGCCAGAGGAAGTTTGGAACGCTGCAGTTATTGAGTCAACAGAGCACTGGAGACTTTCACACTGTGCACTTCAGTACTTGCCGACCCGATAGTTGACCATGGAATATCTAACAGAGAAAGAATTTCACTAACTGACTTACTGCAAAGGTGGCATGCTATAACAGCACCACGCTTGAATTCACTGAGCTCTTTAGAACGACCCATTCCTTCACAAATGTTTGTAAATCTGACTGCATGGCTGGGTGCTTGATTTTACACACCTGTGACAATGGATCTTAGTGAAACACCTGAATTCAGTGATTAAAAAGTGTGCCCCAATATTTTTGTCCATATAGTGTAAATGCTAAGTGTTCAGTTCAAGTAAAACATCACTTCCCTAAATTTATGCCTTATTGTTGACACACACAGATGGTATTAAATATGTTATTGTATAAATGTCAGATTCATTTACACTGCATGGGCTGCCAGGTCCCTACTGGTGGCCAGAGAAGGAAAACTGCGCAAAAAAGTTAATTATCATAACAGTCTAAAGGCAAGTACTTCCACAATTGCCTGACATACCTGGCCGGGGAGTAGTTTTTGTAACAGCAAGATCTCCACTGAAACACAGGAATTTAAGTTATTAGCATTGATAATACTGACAGGCCTATATCTTTAAACAGCTCATCTGGGTGATCACAGACACACCCACTTCCCAGCACACATACAGATGAGAGATAAGGGCAACACTCACCCAGTGCAATTTCTCTCCTCATATGCAGAAGCACTGACACTGTGTTTTATACACCCTGCAAACAGATAAAAATGCAAAAATGTGGCCCCCAGCTCTGTTCCTCAAATCATCAGGATTACTCAAATTTCCCAGTTAGAAATACTTCAATATTTATTTCAAGTTCCTTTTTACAGGATTTTTTTTTTCATTTGATAAAAATGATGAAAAAAATGACTTGCTGTCACATGCTTCCCAATTGTAGCTGTAACTGAAACGGCATTGCATTTTTTAGTTCATGATTTATGGCCTCTGAACAAGTCAACATAAATATTTCAATAATATTTTTTTCTGTAGTTTCTTCTCCATCATAAATATACCTTGAAATAGTCTCTGACCTCCACCAAATGCCCCATGGTTAGATAGTTACAAGAGATGCTCTAAAGCCGACAAATAAGGTAATGAGGGTTAGTCAGTAGCCTGTCACACTTCATCACAGTATTTGAGTCCCTTATCTATGTCTATTATTACCTAAAATGCTCAGTGTACTGTAACTGATTACAAGGGTCGATTTCAGGCTGCTAAATATACTTGCTTTCTAATGAAAAGAGCAAATCATGTACCTGCAACTAAATACAACATACAGACAGGATCAAGAGGTTCAGCTGCTTTTCAAAAACAAAGCTAAGGCTAATCTAATCTAAGTGATTTTAAATGCAGTGTTACTTTTGGTGGCGTACGTGGAGGTGCCAGCATCTCAGAAACAGCCTCCCTCCTGGGATTCCCATACACTGCTGGGGCAGGGGCTCTCAAATGACACCGACCCTCCCAGGGCCTCTCAAATGACACCCGACCCTCCCAGGGGCTCTCAAACGACACCCGACCCTCCCAGGGGCTCTCAAATGACACCGACCCTCCCAGGGGCTCTCAAATGACACCCGACCCTCCTAGGGGATCTCAAACGACACCCGACCCTCCCAGGGGATCTCAAACGACACCCGACCCTCCCAGAGGCTCTCAAATGACAACCGACCCTCCAGGGGCCTCTCAAATGACACCCGACCCTCCCGGGGGCTCTCAAATGACACCCGACCCTCCCGGGGGCTCTCAAATGACACCCGACCCTCCCAGGGCCTCTCAAACGACACCCGACTATCCCAGGGCCTCTCAAACGACACCCGACCCTCCCAGGGGCCTCTCAAATGACACCTGACTATCCCAGGGCCTCTCAAACGACACCCGACCCTCCCAGGGGCTCTCAAATGACACCCGACCCTCCCGGGGCCTCTCAAACAACACCCGACCCTCCCGGGGGCTCACAAACGACACCCGACCGAACCGGGGGATCTCAAATGACACCCGACCCTCCCAGGACCTCTCAAACGACACCCGACCCTCCCAGGGGCTCTCAAACGACACTCGAACCTCCCAGGGGCCTCTCAAATGACACCCGACCATCCCAGGGCCTCTCAAACGACACCTGACCCTCCCAGGGGCTCTTAGATGACACCCGACCCTCCCAGGGCCTCTCAAATGACACCCGACCCTCCCAGGGGCTCTCAAACGACACCCGACCCTCCCAGGGGCTCTCAAACGACACCGACCCTCCCAGGGGCTCTTAGATGACACCCGACCCTCCCAGCGGCTCTCAAACGACACCGACCCTCCCAGGAGCTCTCAAACGACACCCGACCCTCCCAGCGGCTCTCAAACGACACCAGACCCTCCCAGGGGCTCTCAAACGACACCCGACCCTCCAAGGGCCTCTCAAACGACACCTGAACCTCCCAGGCTGCTGAAATCTACCAAGGGGAACCTCCCCATGGGGCCTGCTTTTGTGCGGCTTATTAAATTTGGAGGTCGGGAGGAGTACCTCTGGTCTACACTTTTCAGAGAATGGTATGATGAACTAGAACATCCACTGTGGCCAAAAACTCCTTGTTAACGAGAGTAGAATGGCTAGACTCGAGCTCGTTAAAGCTAACAGGGAGGCCCCAAGTGCAAAAATCTCACCTCAGTATAGCACTAACGTGAGGAAGGGCCTCTCTGAACACATAACTCATCTACCCTTAATGCAATTTCCTACCTTACACTACATAACGGTAACTAATAAATTAAATTGCCGACTGTGTGTATATACCATGCTAAGTACAATTGCCTACAAGAATATGCAACGGAAAATATGTCTTTGTTAAACATTCTTCTGCACTAAAAGCATAACTTTCTGGGAAAAGAAAAGAGGTTTGATTAATTAGCTCTGATTATCCAAATTCATTCAGGCCTAAGACAGCAGTGTCACTGTCACTGTGGGTACGATTATCAACAGACTACAGGAGAACAAAGCATTTAATTTATTCCTCCCTAGTTTCTAGGTAAACAGCAAATTGTTTGTTAGTCTTTGAAGGCAGACTTTATCGTGGCATGGCATTACAAGCTTGACAGCTCTTTGAAAATTTTTGTACTTCTAGAGACTGAAACTGAAATGCAAGAAAGATGATAAAAAGTCATTTGTAAGAATACCGCAAAACCTTTTTTAAATCTTAAATTAATAAGTTGATTTACTGACTTTAATAGGAACTAAATATTAACAGGAAAGGACTGTTCATGCAAAACTATTTTTTTTTATTCAACGCAATTAAAAAGTTTTATTAAGCAGTGTTTCTCACAACGATCCTTGGGGAGCTGAGATGGAGCAAAAACGTGGACCTTCTGGAGGTCCCTAAGAACCAGGAGGGGGACCATCGCTCCAGAAGCTCGGGTGCCCACTGGGTGGAATGCCCCCCCACCACGGGGCACATGCACACACAGTCACACACTACGGGCAATTCAGAGACACCAATTCACCTACATGCGTGTCTTTGGCCTGCAAGAGGAAACCAAAAGATGTGAAGGCATGAGGCAACAGCGCTTCACACCGAGCCGCCACCCCACCCCTACACAGAGATCCATGTTTATAATACCTACACATACAAGCAAACTTTCGCAAAACTGTAACTAAAGCAAAAACTGTTAGTTTCCAACATACATGCATGTTTTTCCAGGAACAATAACTGCCTACACAAAACTGACAGAACTGACAAAGATACAATAGAAAAAAACCCCCAAAGTTATATCAGACTGACTCTGGCATAACTGAAATGTTAGAATTACTCTGCTCCCTGCAGTCAGAGGAGGTGTCAGCACTCCTTCCTTTGAAAGCAGAACAAACACGACAGGAGGTGTGTGGGTAAATACTTCTTGCCGAACGAACGCTAGTAGGCTATGCAGCTTACCTTGCTTGGAGCCCTGCAGGCTGGCTACCAGGGCAGATCCCTCCTCCTTCTGAGCGGGGCATTGAGTCGGGGAGGGAAACGATTCAGTGTCGCAGGGGTCACTCTTCACATCTGCTAGCCCATCAGTGCAAAGCCTGGGTTCCGAACCCATACCCTGCTGGATGTTCGGAGGCATTTCAGATCTGGCCTACTGACAAAAATCTTTTTATTCTTCTGTAATTTTGGGGTGGGAGGGAGGGGGAATCTCTTGGACAATAAAAATGCAAGAAAATGTTTTTTCAGCATCAGGTACCTTTTTATTCACAGCTGGAAACTGTAAGAGCTTTAACGAGCCCAGTTACATAAAAACACATCAAAGGAATCATTATTTTATAATATATTCAAGAGATCCAGCTGAGTTTCAGCACTGTGAGGTTCTTACCTGCGAGACGTACAAATGACAAGCACCGATCCCAGCTCTGCTGGCTTCAAGGAAGTACTTCAGTGCCCGTTTCCTGTCGCGCTCCAGCTTTTTCTCCAGTGCCTGCTGGGAAGTGCACAGGTTGTCGATGAACTTCATCATGAGGTCAGAGATCCTGCCACTGATCTCCACGATGTCGGGGCGCAAGTCGGCATCTGGGGTCAAGCACCTACAAGGCACCCAAACAGCAGCATTTATATGCCGGAGCATTTAAATCTGTAAATCCCAATCACATCTTAAAACTCTTAAAAGTCTATCGCCATGCTTTGTGTAACACCATTTCCCAGCATCCCATTGGCAGAAACAGAAATGTAACCATCTGGATAATCATGGGTATTAATGCTAGAAATTCATATCTATCAGTTTGTTAGCGATGCTAATCCACTGTCAGCAGACTGTAACCTAATTAGACGATACAAAAGTAAATCCATATTTATAAGTATTTCATTAAAAATTACCACTTAATGATGTCTGTTACTCTCGTAGAGAAGACACCATCTTGCACTGGTTCATATACAGCCTCTACAATCTAATACCAAAGAACAAAAGGGAATCATAGATAACAAAAGCACCATAAGTTTTGTTTTCCATCTGGAATATTCCACAGGTACATACAACGCACATATGGGGTGGCTGAAATGCTCATTAGCTCATTAGCCAGCCACACAGTGCTGGTGCACAGTCTCCGTCTGTATCTCTGTGTCTGACCTGGGTAGCGAGAGCCAGTGTGTTGCTGCTGTAGAACGCAGGGCGCAGCTCCGCCATTTGGTACAAGATGCAGCCCAGAGCCCAGACGTCAGCCTTCTCGCCGTAGGGCTCACTCTTCACTATCTCTGGGCTGGGGGGGGGCGGGGGGAACACTGTCACTAAGTCTATATGTCGGGGACAGGGTGAACGTGACCTCTGTATGATCCAACCAGTCGCTCTGCCCTTGGGCTTTAACCCTTTAACTCTATAATAACAAGAATGCATTTGAGGCCACAATAAACGAACCTGAGCAGGTTAAGAGAGCGATAGACTAATACATGTAATTTATTTAGCAGAAGCTTTTATCCAAAGTGAGGTACAATTGAGAAAGCCGGGTCAGAGGGTTCCTGGGGCTATTGGGGGTTAATGGCCTTGCAGTGACATCACGCTGCTGAGCCTGGGATCTGAAGTGGCAGCCTTCCAATCAGGCACGACCTCCTCGGTGACATCAGAAGATCCTGCACTAATTCAGCCTCGCGGAACGTGAACCTCCCTGTTTTCCCCACAAGTACCTCTTTGGATGTGCGTGTTCACAAGCACTCACCAGGAGTACAGCATGGTGCCCACCACCGATGTTAGCTCGCAGCCGGCCTCCTTCTGCTTCGCCAGGCCAAAGTCCGCTAAACATCAAATAATATTCGAGCACAAACATGGCCACATGCTAAGAGAGCCACACATTATCGTGGTTATGGTGTTTCCACGTCCTACTTTGTAATTTAGCAAATTATAAATTCACTTTGGCAAAGCCTAGATGTTATTATTGATTTCCTCTTTGATACGGAAAGCTCAGAACTGTTCTTAATCACAAATCAGTATTTGCATCTGTACAAAAAATCACGTATCAGAATTCTTCCTCCTTTTGTAGGACAAATGTTAGAATACATATTGCAAAATGGCAAGAATCTTTTTCACAATGTCTGTGCGAGTCCAGCGCTCTTACGCAGTATGATGCACAATACTCACTGATGGTAACTCTGTCACTCTCTCCTAGCATGATATTATTAGGGGAAAGGTCTCTGTGAACGATCTTCTTCTCTATGTGGAGATATCGGAGCGCCAGGCACATCTAAGAGGATTCATTGTGGAAACAGTAAGACATCAGGGAGTCGATATCCATCAATGGCCCCTTATCTGTAGATGTGTTTGATGAACACTAATTACTCAGGCCTAAGAGTGACAGTGCGACAGTAATGTCAGCTTCCCAACCTGAATGAATATGTTCCAAATTCTATCCTCAGTGAATCGCTGCTGCTTCTCTTTCAGAGAGTTTAAATGTTCAGCCAGGGGTACGCCATCGATCAGCTCCATGACGATGTAGAGCCTGTCACCTACCAAGCGTGACCAATACCAATCAGGAACACGCGGCTGCAATTTCCTTTGGGAATAATTAAGCATCTATGTATCTATGTATCCATCCATCCATCCATCCATCTAGCATCTGCAAGGATTCCACCTCAAATTTAATCTTTATTCACTGATGCTACTTTGTTGCTTTATATATTCTGACTAACACGCTCATGTTGATAAATATAAACATGCAAGTATGTTCCGTATATCAACTGTTAAACAATTTTGATTTTTTTATTATTTCAGAATATCAAGGAACATGATTAGCCACACTGATATCAATATGACTTGAATATAATTTTGTGTAACCTGTACATTCATGCATGTACTTACTTTCCAAGAATGTCTTGTAGTATTTAACAATATTTGGATGGCTTATCTGTAGTAAAGATAAAAAATAAATGACATAATTAGTAAACACTAAATGGCTGGCATGGTGACTTGTTGAGCACACCATCACTGCGCAGATGCAGGGCTGGGGGTTCAAATCCCAACCCTGCCGTGTGTGAGTGCAGTTTGCAAGTTCTCCCTGTGCAGTGTGGCCATTCTCCAGTCCAAAGAGGTGTAGTTTGGCTAGCTGGCATTGTTAAATAATCCATGGTGTGTGTGTGCCCTGTAACGGACAGGCATGGAACCTGGGACACTGCGCCCCCCCCCTAACCCTCCCAAAAAAAAAAAAGGAGAGAGAAATACAGGTGTAGCAGAGCATGATACACACATGCAAATTATAATTTATAAGCAATTTTGGTCTCATTTCTCAACAGCTTGCCTGAATCTTCATCACCACCCAAATTACTTCCACTCTATGCTGTAAACTGCACAGTTGTGGTGCCCATGTGCGTTTTTGCAGATTAAAGAGGATGATGCAGTAGGGAGAAGACAGGCAGCCTGCTAACACGACAGGCAGCCTGGAGGACTACCTGCTCCTTCATGACGCTCAGCTCAGACACCACCTTCTCCACGCTCACGTCCCGCTCTCTCTTATCTTTGCCAAAGGCGGGATTGTGAAGGTTCACTTCCTTCAGAGCCAAGAGGTTCTGCCCGTTCTGCCTCCGGACCTTTCGCCATGCGCCAGGGAGGATGAAATATCATTAAACACAATTCTGCCCTACAAAGGCAAAAGACTCCACCTGTACATTTTATCAAAACTGAATTGTGACCGAAATCGAGTCTCTTAGGTGCCGTTTTATCTCGTGACAAAATATCGTTGTTCAACTATGCTTAGATTCAAACAAAACAGAATGTGAATCTCACAGTAACTGTAATGACGACTCTAAAACTAAGGCAGAACACCCCTTTGCAAATGCAATCTAATAAATGATTCAGAAAGCAAATGTCACCGAAATTACATGCAATTAAACAGTTTTCGTCTCTTTCATCAGTAATGTTTCAACTTAGGTGATGATGCCCTGAAATAGTTTATAAGAGAATCCACTGGAAATCACTGCTGTTTATGTTATACATACAAGAAAGATATTTTCACTGTGTAAGTAGAGTAATATAATAAAAAGTGCAGGAGAGATACTACATTGACTGCTTATACCAAACGAACAGCCTGGAGGGAAGATGAATCCATTTATATCTCACCAGGAAAATCTGAAAATTTAGCCACTAACCCTGCTGAGTTTTTCAGTGGCTCAGGTTTCCATCTCATTACGCTCTAATGTTTAATGCTGAGAAATGAGAAATGCTGCAATAAATTACGGATCTAATTAATTACAGCATGAGGTTCCCACCTTGTACACACTGCCAAAGGCTCCACTGCCCAGATGGTCCAGAACGGCATAGCCATTGATCACTTTTAAGGGGGACCTGTGCAAGTTCACGGCCTCAATACCTTCCCTCAGACTCTTTAATTCTTCTTCCTGCATACATATGAGCTTTTCACCATTTTATACACTTACAGATACAAGCATCTACAAAAGTACCACATGTAATACGCTGAAGGAAATTACGAGTCCAGGCCTTGACTGCAAAATGTCTTGCGCCCTCTAGTGGTAAATAAGACCAACTACAGAAAAAGCGAGCAATTGCACATCGGCAAAAGAACTTCAGCCCTGCTGGTAGGAATGTGCCGCAGATTCCTTTCTCATGACAAATTCACTCTTTGGGACGTTTCTTCGCTCAGAAGAGATTAAAAAAAAAAAGCAGAAGATTAACCAAGTCTTTCTTGTTATTCCTTCTCTATACAGTTTCCATAAGCTGATAGATTATATTACATTTAGTTTGCAGATACTTTTGTCCAAAGCAACATACAAGAAAGGATTAGAGAGCAGGTCAGCCGGTCCCCAGAGCAATTAGGGTTAAAGGTTTTCTTAAGGGTGATATGATCACGGGATTCGAACTAGCAACCTTCTGATTACAGACAGAGTTCTGCACCACAGAGCCAGCCATCACCCCAGATTAACTTTTCTATTTTTGCAAATGGGGTGCCAAAGTGTACAACTTATTTGTTAAATTTCAATTATACCAATAATATATCTGCACTTTTAGCCTGCAATGCCATATTTGAATGAAAAACACTTACAGATAGAAGAGAGACCTTCGCTTGCAGTGCCTCATACGAGGTGATGTCACGAACATAATGCCCGACGTCTATAAACATCTCGAACAGCTCTGCAGAAAACAGTCTGAAGTTTCAAAAAACGTGAATAACGCGCTCTGCCTTTGTGGGCAACATTAACACAGGAAACGTACAATCACCTTTTAAATAGGCGGCGATTTCGCTCCACGCTGAAGAGGAAACGTAATGTCCTGAAGGCGCAGCACTGCCAAAAACAAACACGTTTCACAAAGGACGTTAAATTTTACTCAGAAATAATATCATATTCAGGCAGACAAATGCCAGAAACAATTAGGAAGACCATAAATGAAACAAATGTCTGTGTTTATCTGCATTCACTGGGAGAATTCATGCAGATGAGTGTTTCATTATGTATATGGGCAATGCATTAGGAGAGATGCTGGAAACCTGGAGGGATGTTGCTTTTGGCCCTGGCTGTGAGCTTTGTGGCAGAACCAGCTTTCCTATGATATACACCCCATTCTCCTGGGAAGACAAAGGGCAGGGGGTCACCTCTTCTCTGACAGGGCGTGCACACCGTGCATGTTATCGCTGGATTTAGGCAAAATCTGGAAGTGAGTACCTGAGATAACCCATAAATTATGCAGAGACTTCAATTTGCCTAAAATATACTAATGATTTATTTCTCAGAAGTATTAGGGAAATATCAGTTTAAATAATAACAATATTGCGATTTAAATCCAAAACTGAAATCAAAGGTTAAAAGACCAGGCCTTTGTATTATAAGGATGGTGTTGGTGAGCCTTACTGGTGAAGACAAAGTGCAAAGTGTCCAACCTGTACAACATGATGAGCCGTGGTGTCATCCAGGATGAGCTCCGTCAGTGCAGCACAGCATGCTGGGAAAGGACGCATGAAGTGAATGGCAACAACTGGGCTGTGTCTCACAAAGCAAGTGCACAGAACATGTTAACATTGAACGTCACGTGAAGCTAAGCAGACCAGCAGAGGGCAGGGCTCTGACAACTAGCTTCCAGCCTTATATCCTGGGGACTAACAAAGGTCAGCGTCTGAATTCCTGATTTCAAATTATGCATGTTTTTCATGTAAAACGAAAGGTACATTTAGGGCTGATCTGCAGCAGCACATTGCCTGCTGTGACTTCTGACTGCCTGATATGCTTGTGGTTGTTGGCTTTTTTCTTCTTTATGCCCTAGAAAATGACTCCTTTGTGTTTGCTTTTGGCTAATATGTTCCCTGTCTATTTCTTAATCGACTTGGCTAAGTGAGTCAATCCTCTGTGGCAGTAAATAACAGGCGGCCAGTTCGAGCCTCATAGGAACAGCGGCATCTCCGTTGGGCCCTTGAGCGAGGCCCCTAACCCCCCAATGTGCTCCAGGGATGCCAGATAAATGGCTGACCCTGCACTCGGACCCCAGGCACCCTCTCAGCTGTATATGTGTGTGTGTCTGTCTCAAAGGAGAGCATGATGGGATATGAGAAACGAAGCATCCAAAGTGCATGTACTTGTGCAAATGGCACATAAAGGATAACTTCCGTTAAAAGGAAAGTCCTTTCACCCATGTATAGCATCCTGACTCATACATGTACACGATGTGTGTGTGTGCAGCCCAGGTATATTTTACATTGTGGGAACCAAAGAACGGGGACCATTTGGCATTTTTGCGGGGACCATTTTCGGCCCCCATAAGGGGAAATCCAAATTTTTTAAAAATCTGTGACTGCAATCAAAAAACTAAAAATGCCAAAAGTCTTGTATTTTATTTGGTTACTTATGGTTAAGGTTAGTGCTGGGTAGAGCTTAAGGTCGTCATGTTGGGGTTATGGTTTTGCCCATAGAAATGAATGGACACTCCCCACAAAGATATGTGTACAGGTGTGTGTGTGTGTGAGTGTGTGTGTTAGAAACAATCACCCGCTTGCAGAGACATCACATTCTCCAATGTTTCCTTTGGGCTGAACTCCTCCGAGACGTGCTGCCTCTGGATGCGGCCAGCTGCATTGGCGCTGGACAGTGTCTCCACAGAGGAGCGGTCCGAGATGTATTCCCGCTTGCTTTGAGGAGCAGGAAGGGGAGCTTCAGAAGACTGCATGTCATTTTCACCCCAGAAACTATGCCCAGCGACAACCTTCACTGAGGCGTCATTCTGGCCCATGCCGTTATATGCAGGGCCTGTCCGATGCCGCACTGCCGGACTGCGGGCGACGGACTCACTTGCGCAGAATATGCAGCAGTTGCTGCACTCCGCCCCAAGCACGGATCTCCGCCGCGATGCCAGGGTCCTCGCACAGCTGCACCAGGACCCACACTGCGCTCCCCAGCAGCCTGAGGTGATCTGACTGGAGCAGGCTGAGGAGCACGGGGACGCCCTCGTAGGCCCGCACCTGCTCCCAGATCCGTGGGGCGGGACACAGCAGCCTCAGCAGCTCTGCACTCACTCTGAGGGACAGTAGCCATGCAGGGACACAAAGCACCGTCAGTGCGGCCACATCGACCACGTGACGAAAAATAAAGCACATTTACCTTTTCGAAAGCAGGTCATACTCCTGAAGTATCACGAGAAGACTTCCGACCACTGGCAGCTCTCCTATCTTCTCCTTATATTCCAGACTAGAGGAAGTCATTCAACATAGATCATTCAAATAGAATACTGAGTGTGTACCTTGCATGTGACAAATAAAACCCTTAAATCCTTAATGCTGACAAGCATAATCCTCAGTTGAGCCAGTTTATTAACACTTAATATCTGCCTCTATCCTTCCGTTTTCTGAATCCGCTTGTCCAATTTAGGGTCACGGAGGGTTCAGAGCGTATCCCAGAAGCTACACGGACAACCCAGGCTATGGTGCCAACCCGTCGTAGGGCATACTCACACACTGGCACGCCTATGAGCAATTTAATAACTCCAGTCAACTTCAGCATGTTTTTGGGCTGTGGAGGAAAACAAGAGTATCCGGAGGAAACCCCATGACGACACGGGGAGGGCATGCAAACTCCACACGCCTGGAGACTCGAACCCTGGTCCCGGAGGTGTGATGTAATAGTGCTAACAACTGCACCACCACATTGCCCTGATATCTACCCCTTAACTGTACATTTTACTGATCATTATAAGAGCAGTCAAGTCATGTGACCATCATTAATAAAGCTCTGGGCTGAGAACGAGCATAGATACCTGTCTGCCAAGCTGGTGAGGGCAAGTAGAGCTCCCAGTAATGCACTGGTGTCCCGTGAGGCCAGAAGCTTCACCAGGGTCTAGTCACATAGAGGAGAAACTCAGAAACACACACGGGGGTACAGAAAAACCACATGGCTGCTCATCACTGTTATCAGCTGTCCCACAATTCAAGACCATACATCAGGTGTAAGATAAATCACACAGTAATTTTATCATTACAGTCACGTGGCAGAAAAGCGCCAAGTCTTTTGAAAAATCGTGAGAATTACTAGAAGATTCAAGAAGCGAGTAAAATGAAAGTGATGCAAGAGAGCTAATGATGACATCATAATGGCAAATGTGAGGGGGGAATGCCATAAGTGAAATGAATGATGGCATTACAGTGACAGCAAGAATTGCAAATGTCCTGCCATTGAACAAATGTATCTGTTATTTTTCATTTCCCACTCCGGGTGTCAAGATCAGAGTTTGACGCTGAAGTGTGACGGACATAGTGCACCGTTTGTCAAGGTCTAATGGTCCCTATATCTGTCTGATTAGACTTATTTGTGTTTCTTATCTGTTCAGTCAAATGACCAAGGATCAGTCCTGATTGGCTAATACCACACGTTCTGCCTGGAATTTCCTTCCACAAGACACCAGGGCTACCTGCCTAGCCCTACTACTGCATACTTATCAGTACTCTGTGGCTGAAGATTTTTGCCAAAGACAGTAAAGTGACTGAAGCAAACAGATTTAAATGACAAGGCCAGCAATAAAAGATGGGAGGACAGAGAACACAGACGACCTCGTGAGCACGACACTTGATAACCCAGGCTCTTTGGTGTTCAACAGCAGAAAGCTTCTGGAATATATCTGCGCACAAAAAAAAACAAAAAAAAAACAAAGCAAAACAAGAGAGTCAATATTTTAAAATAAATTCATTAAAAAACAGAAGAGATAACATGTTGCTCACATGTCATGTTGACCAGTTTGTCCACAGCAAATATTTGATATCCTCCCTCCAGATAGTCACTGGACACTGATTCCATATACTGTAGAGAAGTGAAAAATTTCTTAACTTATACATTATTTAAACTTATTCATACAATTTACAGAAAATAAAACAGATTTGTATAGATTTACCCTTGCTAGGCCATCAACTCCGTGGAGTTCATGGAAGATTTTCTGAAACAGAAATGCAAATAAAAGGCATCACATGCTAACAATCGACAAAACGACAGATTTGTGTTTAACCGTAATTGGGCACAAACAAAAGAATGCAGCGTTTGCTTTTCATATGGCAGAATCGCGGTTTCCTTAAAACAGAAAATGTTACTTAGCTAGTTTTTCAGGTGAGACGTTTTGATAGGTATTGATGTTATGACACAGCCCATCAGGCATGCTTGGTATTCTAGGTAAACTGAGGCATTGATGTCATCAGTGAGATTGAGAAGATGGGAGTAGACACTTTACCTGGTGGTGTGGGTCTCTTATCAACAGCCTCAGACAGATCAGCACTCCTAAGATGTTGTCAGGAGAGGCTTGCCGGAGCCACTCACTGGTAGTACAGGACAATAAAATGAAATAACCCTCATTCATCTTGGGTTTACCCAAGCTATGTCAATATCTTGCCCTTACTCTGTGGCTCCCTGTTCCCATTTAATCAATACTCTTCCATTCCCTTCCAACTTTATTATCTGCTTTTCTCATCTGAAAAATGTTGCTTAAAAAAACGTGCTGCGCAAACAATACAAGTACCTGCAAACAAGTCTATTCTTGATCAAACAGGAGAAGATGTTCAAGAAGAGCTTGTGCAGTGGGTGGTGGCTGAAGTCTCTCTGATTTCTGTATGTCACGCTTGTGCAAGAGATGTGAGTAATTAGCGGGTAGGTACTAAAAACAGCTGTGCAGACGGCAGACGGGAATGGGAGTTCTGTACTCCCGTGCCAAGTACCTGAAGCTCTCCAGCTCTGAAGCCTCGTTAGCTGTATGCTTGCTGCTCTTCTTCGAGCTTTTGTTGTTCCGCTGGTGGATATGTTGGGATCTCGACTGGCTCCCTGCTGCAACCTAAGAGCGCAGCATCTTCGAGTAAAGAATTGTCTGTTGCTACATTCTTCCATTTCAGGCATTCTTAAGACATACTATTGCAGATTTATACAGCAGAATAGTTTTAATGAAATGCAGACTGGAAAGCAAGATATATGCCGTGCTGTATATATGAATATATCTGTCTTACTATTCATTTGATTTGCACTGAGCAGGACCATATCTCAGATATACAGAGCAGAAGGTGCAATGCAGAAAAGACACGATACTGTTAAAACGTAGATAGGATATCTTCACGTCCTGGATGGGATACCACTTGATCACAGGATATGCACAGATGTTCACCGAAAAAAATAATCTGAAGAGCTTCTCTTTAAATGATGGGAACAACTAGAGCAACCCCCAAAAACACATGCAGACCCGACACCCTGCATCACTCCTAAATGTAATGATGTAATGAAGAAAACTTTACCTGATGTCTGGAAACAGGGACACTGAGGAGAGATAAGAGGGCTTTGAGGCAGCACAATTCCCTGGTGGATGGAGGGGATAACTAAATTACTATAAAGTGTATAACAAAATACATATACAGATATTGAAAATAAAATATTTTACCTTTCAACTGGTCCTTTCGACCTTGCTAGTGATTTGTCAGGTCCTTTCACCTTTTTATCTTGGCTGGCCATTTAAAAAGTCTCACGAGTCATCCCTGGAGTTGTATATATACATATCGTATGCGTTGTCATACGACGTCATTACAACAAAACATGGACTGCAAGAATGCTATTTACTCACGAATTCTCACTGCCCCATATCTATGTGTGTACAATCTGCAGTTCATTAAATGCGTTTACCCCACCCATTTAATAAGGATGCCGTATAAATGTACGTTTACATACACTTACACATACGTATATCAAGGACAAACCTCTGCATATATGCCAGAGGTTGTGATATATATTCGACAAGTATATTAATCACATTCATAATTACCAGTTTATGGACAACTTTTCTAAAATAAAGGCAATTGTAAATACTAAGCCTAAACACTGACATTATATGATCCCTATAGATACAAGATCAAAATTATCTGAAGAACGTAGTGCGGCCAATTTCAAATAATACAGAATGCAAAAACTGTACACGGCTGTTGGAATCTTATTCAGTGGCTAATTTTGGTATGCATTCAATTAACAACCAAATTTAATATTATTAAAGGTTAATTGAATGCATGAATTCAGTTTTTGCATGTTAAATTGTATGGGCAGAAGATTTGAAATAAATATTTCCACCCTGTTTAAAACTCACCCTGAAAATGTGCCACCAGGTAAAACGAGAAAGCAGCGACACTTCCTGAATCTACGCAGCAGGAGTTTGTTTTTAATGAAGCAGTAAGGACGTTGACACGTTTTCGCCGAATCACAGAGGGCTGTCTTTAGGCGTACACCCAGACCGGCCAATAGGTAGCAACGATGTTAAGGGTGCCCTCATCACCATGGTGATTGTTGCTCTCCTCGGTTTCCATGACTCCCCAACTTTTGGGGAGCAACAGTTTGCAAGGTATTGTTACCGTTTTGGTGGAGGTTTTCGATATATTCAGAGAAAATGTAAAACGTTGACAGCTTTTTTTATTGTCCACTATGGGCAACCATAGCAATACTCGTTCATACACTCAAACTGTAGATGGCAGGAAGATTCGCACTTTCCCTTTGTGGTTCCAATCTGACTACAAGGTATAACTGCGATATTACCATTAGATATTACATCACTGGTATAACGTAGAAGGACATACGGTGTTAAAAAAATACATTAACATGATTTAAATTAAATTTAGCCAACGATGTCATATTTATGCCTTAATTTTCAAAATGTGTTCTGATTATTGTATCTGTCTTTATAGTTTATGACATATTGTGAAATAAGAGTACAGTGTTTATATGATTTAGTTAATGTGTACGCATGTAAATCAATCAGTAAACACGCCTCTTCTTCTATTCTGCTGAAGGGATACGACCGCTATATCATACATCTCCCTGTTGAAAAAGGAAATAATGGCATTGTTCAGTGTGGTAGTTGATAATACTTAATATTAAGACATATTAGCCTGCAAAATCACCAAAAACAAGATTATATCATTAAATTGGGTACACATATATTTACAGCCTCAAACTCAAGCCTGACTAGGGTGACAGTACGTCCTCTTTTCTCGGACTTGTTCTCTTTATTGAGACCTAAAATGTCAGAAATGTCTGGGATTTCGCTTTGTTTCATGCTGACATTTGCTTTGTACCATCAGAATACGTTCAGTGATCATATCGGCGTTGTTTCACGCCTCTCCGTCCTGCCCACGGCGTCCTCTTCTTTGCAAAGCGAAGTATTTTCACCCGAACCTAACGAATAGATTTCCTCGCGCCTCTCCCGAGGACTCAAACATCTCGTGGTGTGGCTCGAGAGACTATCGCGAGATGTCGAGCTTCGAATTGCTATTCACCAAGCCGTAAGTGCATTGCTCGGTCCCCCATTTGCTCAACGCCGCCAGCGCTGCCTCTGTGCTACGTGAGGAAAGTGACGTATTTTGGTCAGAATTGAGGGAGCCGCCGTGGGTGCGTGAGGATTGTAGCTGGGCTGGTTATTGAGGAGGCTACGGACGTCAACAACATGGGTGAGTGCATTGTCCGATCGCTTCAATAATATCGTTTTAAATGCTAAGCTTTGGTTTGATCCTGGCAAAGCCGTCGGTGGATATAAAGCACCAACGACTGCAATGTTTTAAGATACGTTTTTTAAAGAAAGTGAGCGCGAATGGGGCATTTCCTGTGAGATTTTTTTTCATGATATTATCTATCTTTTTATCTTGTCTCTTTTTACTTTTACAGAATGCGACTTGTTCGCATCAAATTTAGAATTTGCCAGTTTAGATGCTAACTTCATTTATTAGGAACGGGTGAAATCGATGCTGTGTCCAAAAGTAACCAGCAAAATTGTATGAAAGATACTTGGCCAGCTAACTGGCTTCAATAGGTATTTCATCACGGTCGACCTATCTGCCTAGTATTGTACCTTTTGGTTAGCCTTTTTATTATCGATCTTGCCTAGCGAACTATTACAGTGCTTAGATTAATACGGTTAACTTGTACAGATGGTTACAGACTACGAGAACTCCCAATGCCTGTTTTCTGCCTAGCGCATTCTGTACTGTATGCGCATAGATGCTGCCAAGATAAATGGCTTTTTATCTAGCTAAGAGAACTTCGGGATCTGAAACTTTGCATGAGGTCCTTGGTGGGACCAGTAAGGCGCGCTGCTCATAGTCTCTCGGTCAGACGACAAACTTATGTGGATTACTGCGGCTTTTCGCGGTTGTCCTTGTGATCCAGTTATACTGAAACTTTAAGAGATAATGTTGCTTTATGCCGCGACGCAAAACGTGTTGCAAGTATGCGTCATATGTCATTGCACAACACTCACAGTATTTTCATTACAGGTTTATATATGTGTTTATGGATGTCTTACTGAAGTACCTGAATTGGTATTTGTGCTTAACTTGTGTTTACTGGTAGCCGGGAGAATATACACGGTAAGATTTTCGCTGTATAGTGTAACTGACTATGCTGTGCATATAGGGGAAAAAGGTCTTGAATCTTTACGCCGAGTTTAAAATTAAGCGACAAAACAGGAGATGAATGGAGTGCATGGTCACGACAACGGAAGCTACGGAAAGCCCCGGCTTCGCTGGTACTGCGTCCCGCCCCCACCGCACGGAGCCCCTCGTTCTCCAGTCTAAATCAGTGCACTTTTCCTATACGCCGTTTACATATGTTTTTAATATTTATAATTCCTACAGAAGGCTTACTTTGGAGAGTTTTGGGTCTCAACGTTTGACAGCTCAGGGTCAAAAAAGGCCAAAACAGACCAGTTTGAATAAAGAACTAATCCATTGATGCAAGAGTTTTGTAACAGACTGCTAGGTAATAGCTACGTAGAAAATGATCTGGACCCAGTTTCCCGAAACCTTCTTAACGCCACGTCGATCGTAAGTTCTATGATAAAAGATAGAACTTAGGAACGGCGTAGCGTTAAGAAGGCTTTGGGAAACTCACCCCTGAAAGTTACCTTGCATAGAAATGCCTGGGAGTATCTGACCTGCATTTCTTTTGGCATACAACAGTTGTTGTGATTAGTCTGGCATGACATGCACTTTTTAGCCACCAATATCAGTAATAGTTTCATTAGGTGTTTGATATTTATTTAGCTTTCATTTTTGTGTGCTAGACCAGAAGCTTACTTGTTAGCAGGAAGTCGCTACACATCAACAGTATGATTCTACCCTAATGCAGTAAATTCTTTTAAAAATGCAGTTTGTTGGGCTGACTTTTGAGAATTATTCACTTGAAATCATCAGGAGCTCCAGATATGTAGGGGTGTGCAGCCCGCATGAGGCACCATTGAGTTTGTAGCCGTGAGTTTATAGGTGCCAGTGAAATGGAGCTGGAACACAGTTAAAGGCTGACCTCAGGCTGAGAGGAAGCTGTCGGTGATGAAAACCGCAGACAGAGGAAAGCAGTTGGTGGTACCTTTCTGAGACAGACAGGCATCTGTTCTGGCACATGCAGGGCTCTGAGAGTTTACACCAGTGGACAAAGTGTATATTTTTGTATTTTTTTTATTTTTATATTGTACAATTTTTCCCCTTATGTCTCTCCCACTAACTTTCAGCATTTTGATTTGAAGCTGAACAGTCTTCTGGAATATGTCCTGCATGTACAAACCTAATCCAGTGTTCCATTGTCCACACTGCTTGTGCTGTTTCTTGTCCTATGTGGTGCTGATGGGTTTTGCATGAAGTCTCTCTTGATGGGCATGTGGTAAATGGGTGAGATTGAATGACAAGCTTCCCGAGAACCTGTTTACCTGTCATGCGACTGCAGGCTTATGTCACTGAGGTGGAGCTCATTCAGGCAAACCAGTGACCATCGCCTTTTGGGACATTAGACTTAAGCTACACACAAAGCAGGATAACAGAATGGTACGCCGTTTAAAAAGAATTGTGAAGCGCTGCTTTAGACAGTTTTAGGCAAACCACAATATGTTTTCAAACCATAATTAAATCCAACCCCGCAATCTGTCGTTTTCGTCAGAGACCAAAAACGTTGATCGTTATCACCCCCACCCACAGTCGGCAATCTTTAACACCAGCTGTTTAGTGGATTATCCATGTACTTTGTTTTTTTTTCTTGATTTTATTTCTGCAAAAATGTAAGTGCCCTAGTTTGGGCACTTTTCCACTGCACCAGTTATGGTACTTTCCATTGACTTTTGGTCGAGTACCAGTACAAAGGTTCCAGTACCTAATTTGCCAGAGCAGCTGGGGTACTTTTCTGGTACTTCGGTACTTTGGGGTGGGACTTGCAAACACTTTCTTTGTCGATTTGGTTATGCAAATAGCCTGCCTCTGAAACACAATACAACCGGCATCTTGAAAAAAACTTCCGGTCTCAGAATGCAATGATAAACTGTTTTTTTTTTTTTTTTTTTTTTTTAAAGTACTAATGATGTATGTGTGGACAAAAAGAGATCCAAGCTTCAATTGTGATCTTGTCGGAAGAAGAGATGGTACAAGTTGAGGATGACATGACAGATTGAAAAAAGTATTTTGTATAATATACTAGAGCGACACTGGAAAATTTTCAGATATCATGATGTTATTTAATTGAATATAGGAGTCTTTATAAAGGAGTTCAACATAAATTTCTCACAAACCCGTTTAGGAGTGATTTAAACAGCAAGGATGAAAAATGATTATGGTTGTCTTGGAGAACACATGCAGCGCTTATGCAAAAGCTGTGGAGATAAACTTTAAACTGATTTTTTAAAACATAGACTAGATAATCTTGAAAAGGGATAATCATTAAAATGATGAAACTTCCTAAGTTTTTTTTTATTATTGCAGAGTAAAATTGTTTTAGCAAAATTTGAGAAAATACGCTTTTTCAAACTTATAATGTATGGACATTTTAGCGCAGGGTAATCTAACGCTTATGAGTGTTTCAGGCGGTGCTGTAATAGGTATCAAATTTAAGTCCAAGGGTAGATTCTGAGTTCTTGTTTAAAATAACATTAGTGTCAGTGTAGGTAAGGTAGTCTCCCACTCCAGCGAGTGTCCATTTTGATGTTGTAGTGAGTGTCAGTGACCCAGATGTGAGCACAAATGAGAGCTTCCCCTCGTGGTCAAGAGTGCAGTCGACTTCATCTCTTACTGTTTCCATCCTGCAGCAGGTGTCCTTTTTAGAGAGGATGTCTGTCTGTGAGAGTAACTTAACTTTTGAGAGTATTGCACACATGGTGCACTTGACCTTGATAAATGAACATGAAATAAAGCTATACAAACATTATTTGCACATACTAACACCTATTGGGTTATGTGTAAATTGTGTGTGTTTCAGTTCCACTTGAAATAAATGGTTTTATTGGACTTATTTGGATGGGGTGTGATAATATGGCGGTTTGACTAATGTTATCGAAGGCCTTCGTTACTGAGGTCCCGGCTTGTCGGTGCGTGGGGTTTGACGATCCCAGCTGAGAAGAGGATCTTTATCACACGTGACCTGTACTGCACAGATTGGCTTTGTTCTCAGGGCGTCTGCACCGGCCGTCATTTGAGGCAGCCTGCCTGATAGGAGTGTTGCGCTTCAAGTCGTACATGGTGTGTTTGTGATCACCACTTTAAAAAACGGAAAGTGAAACTATAGCAGCCAGTGTCGTGCAGTGCAGTCATGCTGCTGCATAACCTTTGTAGCATCTCCCTTTTTCTTTATTTCATTCCATCGTGTATAGGTGACGGTATTAAGGATGCACCATTACTGTTATTGGTATCCAGTCCAATACTGTGCTCATGCCCTTGTACTTGTTTTCATGACAATGTACCAATGCCTATGATAGCAGGTATTGACATATCAGTGATAACATTAATAAGGAAAATAAACAAGGCAAAATGTAAGTATTTTCACAACACAGATAAGTTGACAATTAAATCCAAAGCATAGCAGACTGTAAACTATTTAATCTAATTAAACAGAAGAAAGAGTGTGACAGAATTGCCACCAGCAGCAAAATGTACTGCATCACAGAGAGAAAATGTCAAACGATAAGACTCGTGCAGTGAAAATAACAGAAGCCCTTACGCAGTATTGATCAGGCGCAATGTCATAATGGTGGTACGTGGAGAGCATAATACTTTGTAACACTACAAAATAGATGTTGCCCTAGCTGCAAGCAAAATTGGCAATCCTAGTTTTTTTAATATATTGCATTAGTCATTGCATTTTATTGTGGAATATTTATATATTTGTAAGCTTATTCTTTTAACCAGTAATAATACAAATTTACAACTGTTAGCAGGAGATCTACACACAGTAAACAAAACTATAATTCCTCATCAGCCTGTGTTAAGAAAAGGTAGATCTTGCTTGATTAGCTTGCTTTACGGACTAAGGTGAGTAGTACCATGAAATGCTTTTGATAAAGTGTTGTGTGGAATGTTGAGCCTCAAAGATCGCTGGACTCTAAGGCAGCATCAGATACGGAACTGTATGTCAGACAGAAAGCAATGTTTCATTGTGAAAGATAGAAACTGTGGTTAGTCCGTTTTAACCAGAGTCATGCTGCAGTCTTCTATGTTCAGGCCATTTTTTATCTAGATAATTTGAGTAGATCTTGACACACGTGGAGTACACAAATACCAGCACTGATACGGACACAGCAGAACGGTGGTAGGAAGAATAATCTTGCATTACGGACACTGTCTGGGTGATTTAGGCATATAAATTGGAACCCCCTGCCCTTCATCACGTTATTATTGGAGTGGAAAAGAAAAGTAACTAAGATAACTTTAGGTACCTGGACATCAGTTTATAAAGTACCTCATGCTCTGTGTATAGCTGTGGTCACAACATTAGAATGAGTTTATAGAGAGATTGCTGGTGTAGAAAGTTGCTTAAAAGGGTGCTGTTTGATATGCTAGCAGAGCAGAACCTGCTGAACCCAGGGGCAGGCTGAATATGAGAGTATAAAGAAGCGTGACATCCTGAGGAGAACAGAAGTTCAGCGCTGTTGACTGTTTGCACCCTTACTTGAAAATGTGGGCAGAAGTGAACTTTTCAGGCATTTGTTTGAAAATCCGCTTCCCGGTCATGTAGTGGAGGCTCAGACGTCATTAATTTGAGTGAGTGGTCGGTAAGACTTGGTCAGATGCAGCTGATAAATCAACAGAATGGACTGAATGGTGTCCTGTTTTCGGTGACACTTTCCAGTCCTGCCCATTCCCTTAAAGGAAGCATGCTACACAATGATGCTCATAGACACACCTCTCCCTTTATACCTTTAAAAATGCTTTATTTTGTGCTATTTTTTATTTTATTACTTTTCTAGTAAAGTTACATTTCCCAGAAATTAAACAATTGGTATGTGACATGAACACAGATTTTTTTGAATGGATTTTTTTGTACTTAAGAAACTAGAATCTGTTTGTCAGTCTCTTAAACATGACAGATTTTCATTGTTATTGCTGTATGTTATTTGAAGGATGCAACTACTTTTAAGTAGTTGAATTGTTTCAGCATCAGCTGTTTGATTAAAGTATGTAAATAGGAACGCTGTTCTTAATCATTCTTTTCTGTTGTTCCATGCAATGCTGTTCACACCGAATTTCACACAACTATGACTGATCAAATGATGTCCCACTGCCCTCTCACACCGCACCTTGGCCTGGACGTCGCTGCGTCTCTGCTGCTCGCTGTAGCTGTAAGTATCGTGACGATGCGCTGTGTCCTCTCCTTGGGGCCTTCAGAATGTGCTGTGCTCCCTACATGGCCGCCAGGTTCACCCACAGAACCCCACATGTCCGCATCCTTAAATCCTCTTTCTTTTTTTTCCTCATTTCTTCTCAGCAACAGAAAAATCTGGAAGGATATGTTGGCTTTGCAGACCTTCCCAACCAGGTGTACAGAAAGTCTGTCAAGAGAGGTTTTGAATTCACACTCATGGTCGTAGGTAAGAAAAAAGATCTTGGCTTATATTCATCAGTGACAGTTTTACATTACTGTCCTATAGTTCCTGTCTTTGGCATTGAGTTATACTTTAGATGAAATGACTTGAACCAGAAAGCTATGAACCTCATAGTAAGTCAAGTGGAATGATGTGGCATTCAAAAGCCATATTAAGAGCTTATGTGCTTTTTTTTTTTGGCATTTTATGTATATTTTTTTTCTCACCTGGGTTTTGTGTGTGCTGTTTGATTTATGACTGGGAATTTTCTTTAATTACATTTGAGGTAGTCTAAACTGGAAGCTGGCCAGCTGCAAAGAAGTATATACCATCCCAATGCCCTCTTATAGCCTCGGGAAGCAGGGGGACTTGGAGGGAATTGCTCATTAAAAGTATGACATCACTTCCTGTCTGTGTCTACTCAGCTGCCTCTAAAACCCTTCCATAGACTGAGGGAATGCCAGGAATGTGTATCTCAAATCTTCAGATAGTCTGCAACTTTTGCAGTTTCCTCACGCTCAGAGGGGAAGTCCCTTCAGTAAAAGGGTGGATGAAGTTGAACGTATTGCAGTGATTTCATTTTAGTTGCCTTTTTAATATTTTTTTCCCTTTGTTACTGTGCAATAATCCCATTTTTTTTTCTTGCCGGTGCTTTTGATCAAGGCCTGTCTGAGGGAAATGCATAAAGAAATGAAATATAAGCAAATGATCTTCATTAAAAGATTACATAACAAAAGTTTACTTTGCATTGATATTTGTGTGCATTGGAGTTTTGATGTTGCATCATAGGATAAGATTGCAGCCATGCTTAATACGCATAGTCTGTAGATGATCTGATAACATATCCTAGCGTACCAAAATCATTTGGTTTAAAAAAAAAGAAAGAAAAACATTATGAACTTTTTTTGGTTTGACATGTCTGTAGGCTAAGTGGATTTGTGTAGGACTACAGATCTGTTTTCGGTCGTCCCATTGCCTGCATACCTGCTGAGTTGCGTTTCTTTCTATTGGTAATAAAATGATGGAGTTTGTCTGCAGTCTTGTACTTCCTGTCTGTATTTTATTTATATATGTGCTTGATGACATGACCTAATATAACCTTAATATATGCAAAACAATACATAGAAATGCATGTCTGGGTACTGAGTTTCCTGTAAGGTTTATTGATGGTGGCCAATAGGCTTGGGTGGTATTACAGTATGCCCCGGTATTTAGGAATCCCAAAGGAATTAGTTTTAATAATGTAAAAAATACAGACACTCCTCTTTCTGTTAGACTGAAATGGAGATGTTGTATTGAGGCGATGTATTGTAGTGCACAGCGTTAGCGGTGATTGGAGCCCTTGTTAGACTGAAGTGGAGATGTTGTATTGAGGCGATGTATTGTAGTGCACAGCGTTAGCGGTGATTGGAGCCCTGGTTAAGTGTAAATAAAAGTAAATGGAAGTAAAAAAATAAAGAATAATATGCAGGCGTAGGTTAATGCCACAAAAACAAAAGGCGTCGTAAATTGTTGGAGCATGCGCAGCATACGTGACAGCTAGTGCATGTGCGGCTGCAGATGGGGCATGCGCCGCAGATCGCGCAGTGACAGTGGTGTCGTGAAACAGAGTGATCTTTTTAACTCTTCAGTAAGGAGTTGTCTCCTCATTTCCCTTCCATACCGATGAGCCCGTTTTGGCTCTCTCTGATTCCGGAGTTGCCTAGAGTAGGCCTACATAATTAACTTTTTTTTCCCCCCCTCAAATACTGGTGTATACTGGGGTGAAATGTTTAGAAGGTATGACAACATGAAAAAAACGGGGACCTACCAAGCCTAGTGGACAGGTGTGATATTAGATTATAGTTTGCAAGAGGAAAAACTGAATACCTTTTGAAAGTAAGCCTGACTTTACAGATCGTGCTTGACATGCAGATTGAGTCTGTTCTGTTGGATTTTACACGTCTAGAATATAGTATATAAGAAGCAATAGGTGACTTGTTTTGTGCTTGTTCCTGCCTGAGAAAGAGGTGCCTGCTGAAGGAGGATATTGTAGATCAAACGCATTAGGCAGAAACGTCAGACAGCAAACATTTCCCATGAAGGAAATGTGTATTTACACCCACGCGTACTGAACATGGTTGCGTCTTTCACTCTGACTAGAGGAAGCGCCGCATGAAATGGTCTGGCTTGACGGCTTGGTTGTACTTGGCTGTGTTTTATGGTAATTTCCGTAAGGGGTAAAGAATCATTTCCAGTACTTTGTCTCAACAATTGCTGGAATACTGTATAATTCATCCGCATGAGATTTAATCCTCTTGGAGATGCTGCATCCAGAATGAATCGCTGTTGAAATTGCTGAGGCCAGACAGCACTATCAGTCTTGCTCAGAGCAGGAAGTTTCAAATAAGCACAGTAGTTTATGCAGCCTCGTTAAAATTTCCTTTAAAGGAAATGTCCTGGATGTTGATGGGATTGCCTGGTCAGCTTCAGCATTATCGTAAAACTGTGACTCGTGGTAGCAGCTGCTTCAGATGTTAGCGAGGCCTGTGACTGTATGCCTCTCATTATTTGATGCAGATAATAAGCCGTAGAATCCATTTATTTAACAGTATTTGGGATATGTTTACCTTTTCAGCTAATGTTCCCTAAGTGGGCTCCCTGAAAGTAACAGCACATATTGCCTCCCTGGCCCATGAATTTGCTGTTTGCTGCAATGGCTAATTTTGTGAACTGAATGGATTTCATTGGTAGAAGTTTGAATGTGGATGACCATGCTTCTCTAAATACTTCACATCAGCTTCCTGACCTGGGCAGTTGAGATGGTCACTCTGGGGGTGTCTGGGAGGCATGAAATTTGGCAGATTCGTCATCAGCAGGGGCTTAAAAGTACTCAGTCGTGTCTTTTTTAACGGGAATAACACACTCAGTAATAACACAAGAAGGGGGGAGTGAAGCTGTGCGCTTATGCAGCACGTTCATCCATTGTTCCAAGGCGCATGTGACTTGGACGGCCAGGTGCTTGGCTCCGTCACCTGCTCCATTGGCTGGCTCCCCGTCTGTCAGCAGTAGTCTCGGTAAGCGGCAGTGTCATTTTCCCATATTGCGTTTTGGCCATATGAGCAAGACTTCCGAATATGCACATTACTGCAGTGCAGATGGAGAGCCGCTGAGCTCCAGGTTCCTCCAGGCGCTGATGAATGGCGACGCGCCTGAATCCTCTCTCCTTCGTGGAGAGTCTGAGCTGTGCTGTGTGGGCAGTGTTCTGCAGCCCATCCGTCTGAGCTGCTGGGTCTCTGCGCAATTCCACTCACATTCGCTGAGTCCAGCCCAGCTTGCACTTCTGCCCCACAGCGAGAAGTTTGTGTTTTCTGGGTCCTTCTTTTGTATGATGCACAATATGTGCAGCTAAAACAGTTCTACTCATGTACATATTCCCGCATTTTGTGTACTGATATATATATATATATTTCTGTGATTTCCCTCGTTTAATGGTCAGGCCAGTCACAGGGCTCTCTGTCTCTGCTTAGCCACACAGTTCCAATTACCCTGCTCAGGATGGGCACAGTAATCAATCACAGTTAATCTGCTTTATGTTAAACCACAGTCTGGCAGCATGAAAAGTGGGAGGTCTTTCTCTCATGGCCAGTGGCTTGCTGTGCTTGTTTTATATTTTCTACTGTAAGAACTGCATATGTTCATAGGTCTATGCAGCGTGTTTTTTTTTGTAAGAACTCACTTTTAATATGCACATCCTTGGATGCAGAGTATAATTTTTGTGCTGTTCCTGATGCATAAAAACAATTCTGAAACCATAGTTCAACCACTAAAATATATAAATATACATAGAATTTTTTTGCCCAGTAGACTACAAACTAGGCTATCAGAGTGCTTTTTGGGAGTATCAGCAAACAGCATTTGTGGTCAGCGTGACACTCTTGTGAAGCCCTTGAACTATGCTTTCAATCCACCGTTTGGTTTAGGCTGGGCCATGTGCTATAATCACCAGTCGTGACATTTAGACAGTGTAGGCTTTGTTTACTTCTGACATCTTGTTCACAAACAGTTATTTTGCTTTTGTAAACTCATATGTTTGAAATTAGTTATGTAATGTGTAGTCTTTCACATAGCCTGCTTTTTAGATTGCTTGTGTTATGTATTTTAATGTGTAGGAAAGATTATCAAGTATTTTGCATCACATCAGTAGTACATTGGTGTCTTACTGATCTTTATACTTTCTTTCAGGGGAATCTGGACTGGGGAAGTCTACACTTATCAACTCACTTTTCCTGACGGATCTGTATTCCTCCGAATACCCCGGCCCCTCACATAGAATCAAGCAAACTGTACAGGTAGAATATCCCAGTGTTTCTTTGTTTGCCTTGTCCGTAAAGGAGATGCTCATTCACATAACCGAAGGGGTGCATTCATGATACTAAGTGTTAAGTGGGACAGAGATAATGTGATATAGCAAAACAAAGGTATGTAACCACCATTATAGTAAAGAGCCCTTAGTCCCTTTCTGTTCTGTCGAATCATCACCAAAAAGCCCCATTTCAGTTCCCGCCCTTGGCCTCTCATTTGTCATGATATGGTGCTGAATCTGTAGTCAGCAGCCTTAAAAGTTGCTGTTTTGTTTACACGTATATGAAGGCAGCTTAGATTTGCATCCCCCCCCCGGCTCTCCACTAATGGTCTTCCTTGGTTGCATTGGTGCTGTAGTAGTGTTTCATGGTCTCCAGGGAGATGCAAAAACCTGAAAGTTTGAGGTCTGAATGGCTTTTTATGCATTGGTGACGTGCACTTAAGCTATGGTACTGGATGGCTCTTGTTCATGGATCACGGCATTAACTCCTGGCCCCTCCCTTAAGCCTGTTATATTTCTGATACCTCTGATACACCCTAAGCCTAACCCTACTTCTTCCATTGCTTCTTTTGGGAAATGAAGGAATACTCAGACATTCAAGTGATGGCCATATGGAATTTAGTTTGTTTTAATAACATTGCAGAAGATTTTGGTAAGGCACCTGGTAAATACTGATAATGCAGTTTTGATTTAGTTTCCTTCTCTAGAGTTCAGCAGTGAATCTCCTTCCCTGGATCTCAGCTTACCGTGTTCTGGTTATAACACCTGCTTCTTAACTACTATCTTGTCCTTTAGCTAAACTTGATCAAAAACAGCTCAGTTCATGTAGGAACTGAGGTTTTAAATAACATAGATTTCTTCACCTAGTTTCTTTGCTTTGGGAAACAAGCCTTCAAAGTCCCTTGAGTGTTAATTTTAACTTTCATGGAATATCTCTTTGGAAAAATTTGAAGCAGCCATGTATCTTTGAAATGCTACCACATTTCTGTTTGAAAAGAAACCACTTGCACCACAGCTAAAATTTCAGACCAGGTTTTGTGTCAGCCAGCAGTCCACTGTGGGCCTTCCTTCCCACTCTTCCTTCCCACAGTCCGAACACTTTAGGTAAAACAGTGAGAGTGGATGTGTGAAATAAAAATGCCATATAGTGTTAAATTTGCGCTCTTATTTGGAAAGAATTGCACATGTTGAAGGTAGAAAAGATTTTACTAAATAATGGGGTAAAATAATCATAAAAATCAGTCTGTGTCATACAGATTTTTTTGGACTATTTTAATCTTTTCCTATTATGTCTATGCCTAGAAATTGTTCTGTTTCAGTTCAGTTCTGTTTTGAAGTAATAAAAGCATTTAAAAATTGTCAAATTATATAATTTATTTTATCTTCCTGTACTATGTGGGACCTGCCACTTGACGCACACCTTAGAACAACAGTCATTAAAAGTTTAGGCATCTGTTTTTGATGTCTCATTGTGACGTGCAAGCATTGTGTTTTTCGTGGGTTAGCATCTCTTAAGCTAAGGTCTGTATCATCAGGTTCATGAGTAGCTGTACTGTACCCCTGTACCCCTGGAGAGGGACATCCTTCATCTACTGATAATCTTCTGTAGAACCTTCCTGGAGACCAGGTCCTTTAGCTCCGCAGAAAGCTGCCATTGGCTTGGAAAGGAGTCCTGTTGTTCTGCTGTTCATGGACAGTTCATCCAAGCAGACTAACCTCGTCCTACACCTGAGTGACATCAGGCCTTTGACGTGTCACTTATGCATGTACATTCCCCCTCCTTTTGTGATATGTAAATACTTTGTATCACTGTGTTCTGGGATTCATGATTCTTCCATATCTTTGGTTAAGTACTTTCCGTTTTTCTGGTTTCACTGCATAGCTGGATGTGCTTGTCACCACATGCTGTATGAGAGACGATGAAACCATGAAATCAATTCCTGTGTCTCTAACCGCTGTACAGTTCCTAGGTCATCACTGCTGATTAGTGTAAAAATGTCGTCACCTTGTGTTGTATAAAAAAAAATAACCGCAATGGCTGACTAGTAAGTGATAAGTAAGTCTTGTCTTTATGTATGGTTAACAAATATTGGAGTTACCAGATGTTTTTAGTACGTGATGGAAGATTTCATTTGGATAATTGCCGACCTTAAATTAATATAATAAAAATCCACAACGGGCCGGTACTGGCAAAGCGGTCTGTTTTATTCATTGACATGTGATCTTGCAGCCTGAGAGAAAGCCGCAGGGTATCTTATAGTACATGTATAATAGGAGGAAGTTGAAAGTTCCCTGAAAGGACAGAAAGCTGTTTCCTGATTCGCCGTGCTCCGGCCTGTTTTGTCAGGAAACAGATCCTATGGTGGATTCCTTTCCTGGTGCGCAGACCCCGTGCATAAATCACATGCAGGCACTTCTGAGCTGAATTCCCCCAGATGTTCAGTTAGAACCTGCCTGCTGGTTACTCAGCAGTGTCCCCAGTATCGTTTTTACCTTGAGACCCATCTGTAGGGAAACAAAAACAAGTCGATAAAGGAAGACGGCCTTGGAGTTATGAATATGCTGTTCTGTTAACGTCGAACCCTTTGGTGCCGTGACATTTTCGGGCATTGAGTGTTTCTTTTCATGCGGTAACCGTATTGCAGTACCCATATGTCTCTCGCTTAGGGCATGATGGCTTCCCGAAAGGCTGAGGTACCATGGAATGCCAACCTGCTGCAAGCCATTTCTCATTTCTTATGCACGTCGCATAACATGTGAATTCTGCTGCAAAGTGAGATCTTTAGCTCTTGCTCGCTCTCGATTTGCTTGTCAGTGGTTGGATCTGTAGTTTTGAGTATTTTTAAGTTAATGAATCTACCAGATTGATGCAGACTATAAAGTTACACGGCAGAAAACCAGACCTTGGGAGCAAAGCAAGCATAAATAGGTTATTGGGTGCTGATTTTATTAAAGTACCTTCTATTGGCGATTTCGAGAAGCTTCCTTCCTTTCCTACCTGAAATTCATTGTGTATTTGCAAAGCTTCTTAACATAGAACTGACCTACAGGCTAGAGTAAGTTATGTACTGATGGTTGCTTAAAGCTGATTTGATTTATTGGGTAATTGTTGGTGTGATAGTTCTTTCATAACAGATTAAGTTGGTTCTTAGCAATGTGATATTGGAATGAATGACTACACTGACGAGCAAATAAGCAATGCTGTCCTTACCTGTTTTGTAATCGTCTTATTTCCGTTTGGTGTATTTTTTCGTTCAGGCGTCAGAAAAAGCTTTATCATGGCTGTCATCTTTATTGTATTGTTCTCCTTCAAGCAAAGATGTGGTCGGTGATGTCACAGCCTTAAAATTCCAATGAAACCCTGTCATTGACACTCAGTGATAGAATATGCAAGTGGCAGGAGCGGAGAGATTCTGCAAGGAGTAAGACACTGTAAAGTCTGGCTTTTAATGCACCCCTCCCCTTTCAGGTGGAACAGTCCAAAGTTTTGATAAAGGAAGGGGGGGTCCAGCTTCTCCTTACAATAGTTGACACCCCCGGATTTGGTGATGCTGTGGACAACAGTAACTGGTAAGTTTCAAACTCTGTGCTTGACAGACATTGTGAGCATGTCTATGATTATGTATTCATATTTAATATATTGAGGTGGCAAGTTCACTTAAGTGTTTAACTATATCTGCAGCTGGCAGCCAGTCATCGACCACATCGACAGCAAGTTTGAGGACTACCTTAATGCGGAGTCCCGCGTCAACAGGCGACAGATGCCCGACAGCAGAGTGCACTCCTGCCTCTACTTCATCGCCCCCTCAGGACACGGGTGAGTACTGCACCCAGTACGATAGTGATGCATCATGTGTGCTTCAGTGCCACAACAAAGCCAAACGGGCATCCACACGCAGAATGTACGTGTTCTGCTGTTTGCTGTGAAATCCGCACGCAGTAGTCATGGGTTTAATGCTTAAATCCATGAAATGTATGTCTTATCTGGTTTAATGCTTAAATCCATGACATGTATCTCATATCTGGTTCAATGCCCCCCCCCAGGGGCTTTTTATCCTGTGCCCCATGTGCCCTAATGCTATCGATTGCTTCCAAAAGCTGTTGTGTGAAATGGGATGTTAGTCTTAATTGTTCACTGCCATTTCCCCAAATTGCTTTGAGCAGCTTTTCTTCAGCAGAATGAGATAAAAATGACTTCTTTTAATGGAATGGGATACACGCTATTAACTCTATTAAAAAATACAATCACATTTTCTTTTGCTTTTATCGATTATGAAAATAATTTAGCCTGAATTAGCCTGGCCTCATTTCACTTAATTAAATGATGGCATTTTGCACCATATTCCCAAGTTATAGCTGACAAAAGGAGCGAAAACTCAAAATGTAAGCCGTCTAGGGTTGCCTCAGTCGGTGAATCCCCACACACTTCTCCTGGCAGAAGTCTGCTTCCTCTTGCCATCGGAGGGTCCTGAGATTTTCTTGCTGGGGATCCCTGGGTGTCAGAATGTGCATATCAGTTACAAATGTCCCAGAGTTAAAGAAGTTAAGTAGTAAATGTTTAGTTTTGCTTTTCGTCTGTAGGGCAAACCTTTGTGGTTTTAGTGTTTGTATATTTCTGAATATTGGAAATCTGCTGTAAATTTATCTCCGAGTTAATTGCACAGAGAGCTGTAATGGTTAAAGTCCTGCTTTCAGACAAACGGCTGGTGTTAGTGTGAGTGCAGAGCTGAGCGGGCTGTTTTTAGCCTCTTCACTGTCGCCCACTCCCCTCCCTCCTCCACTGCGTTTCCTGCTCCGGGCTGTTTGACAGCATCCCCCATAGGGGGCGTCAGCTGAGCAATGACGCAGCACTGTAGGGTTGCCAGGTCTGCGCATGGTCTTTGCCCGCCTGCAGCCGTAGGGTTGCCAGGTCTGCGTACAGTCATTGCCCGTCCGCTGCCGTAGGGTTGCCATGTCTGCATACGTCATTGCCCACCCGCTGCCATAGGGTTGCCAGGTCCGTGCATGGTCATTGCCCGCCTGCTGCCGTAGGGTTGCCAGGTCTGTGCATGGTCATTGGCCGCCTGCTTTCCCCCCCCCCCCCCAATGCCATCGCCACCACCTCTCTGAAGGTGTTAGTGCTAGCAGTGTGTGTCTGTTTGTTTGGTTATGCACATGTTGCGGAGAATAGGCGGGCTCCTCACTGACTGTATGTGACCTGGAGGAAGGCAAGAAACAAGCCATTCACTCCCCATAATTGTATTATTTAAAGGGCCTGGGCAGAGAATAACAAGCTTGTAAATGACGTTTATTCTATTTATTTTTTGTGTGGTGTTGCCTTGTGCTTGACTGCATATTCTGCGTGCTCATATTTGTTTTAACATTCAAAAATGTAGGTTTTATGAAATATACTCTAACCGGGAGCAATTTTATACTTTTTAGGAGATTTGTAAAGAGTATAATTGTTATACCCGCCTCAGTATTTTGATAGCCAACAGTATTTTCTTGTCTCCCTGTCAACACCAGCTGCCGAATGTGTTTGTGTGGCAATAGAATTCTTTTAGGTGGTGTTCAGTCCATATGATTTATACAGCATCCAGACTGGAGACGTGGGCTTGTAAGCTACTGGTTTGCAGCTCAGTCCCCAGTAAGGGTGCTTGAGCATAGTACTCCAGCTGGCTAAATGAAGTGACTTTGAAGTTAAACGCCGGTTACATGACGTTCGGGCTCAAACTGCTGATTCTGTTGCTTATGAAACCAAAATGAATGCTACTTCGTTTATACTCCTGGTTGTGTGAATGTGGAAGTGTGCGCTACACATTCCCACAGCTAGCACTAACTCAAAGTGAAACACATCATCACCCCTTCCAGAGTGCTGATGTGGTAACCAAAGCGTATTGTGACATCAGGGGAATATCTATGCTGTGTAGATGAGGCACGTTAAAGGTAACAGCTTTGCATTGAGGAGTGAATGAGTTGGTACCGTGATGGAGTTAAACAGTCATGTTTAAATAGTTAAAGTTTGACATACGGAAGAAGAACCAAAGCTTTTGTGGCTGTCATGTTTTGAGTAAGCCAACCCTTCTCACTAATACTTTGTTTCCTCTCCCAACAGACTGAAGCCATTGGATATCGAATTCATGAAACGGTTACATGAGAAAGTAAACATTATTCCACTCATTGCCAAGGCTGATACACTCACTCCCGAAGAGTGCCAGCAGTTCAAGAAGCAGGTGCGTGTGTCTGTGCGTGTGTGCATGCATTTGTGCTTGGTTTCGTATATGTTACATCGAGAGGGGGTAACCATTTACCTATGATGTTTGATGTTGTCAGGTCCCCATAAAGATCTGCGACGGCAATCAAAAAACTAGAAATGCCAAAAGTCTTGTATTTTGTTTGGTTACTCATAGTTAAGGTTAGGGCTGCATAGGGGTTAGGGTCGCCATAGTTGGGATTAGGGTTATGCACATAGAAATGGATGGAGTGTCCCCATAAAGGTATGAATATGAGGACTATGGATGTGTGTGTGTGTGTGTGTGTGTGTGTGAGAGAGAATGTGAATGTGCAGGAAAATTACATTAAGACAGTGACTATATTAGGAGTCAGTCCAGCATGGAATCAGTCATTTCTTTTTATTGGCTATGAAGGTGCGGAGTGGGATGAATGTAGGGGTGAGAGAGCATGGCTGAGGGGACAGTTGGCAGTGTTATCAGAGTCACAAGAGGGCAGCAGGGGACCGCAGTTCCTCATGGGCACTGCCGCTGGCTGCATTGTGACTTTTCTTTATTTCCCCAAGATTATGCGAGAAATCCAAGAGCACAAGATCAAAATCTACGAGTTCCCAGAGGTGCATGACGAGGAGGAGAGCAAGCTGGCGAAAAAGATCAAGGTACAAAGATAGATGCGAGGTACACAAGGTGGTGAATGGGCACCATCCGAGGGGGGTGGCAGCCTTGTCTGCTCCCTGGTGCCCTCCTCTCGCCAGCTGTCCCTTTACTCACCAGTTCAGTGTTTCAGTAGAGGGCAGTGTGGTGAACTACCTGCCATCTGATGGGTGTAACTGGCATAATAACTTACATGGACAGTCTGCAACATACACCTAAGTGTCACCTTGAAATTGTCGCGTTAAAGTGACAGAAGCCTGTGCCCCCCCGCCACTCTTTCCCTGTCTCCCATGACTGTTGTTGTTTTGCAGTCCCTCGTATTTTCTCGGGTGACCTGCTTTATTGGTGCGTCTGGATTTTCTGGAGCGTATCGGGAGTCGGATGTCTCTCCACCTGGAGAGCTTGCTCATCCAAGACTCAGGTGCACTGAGCAGTGGAGTGTTAATGTGCGACTCCACGCAGGCTGGGGGGTGTGGAGGCAGCCCAGAACGCCACGCGCCTGTGAACGCTGTGCTATTTGTGAAAGTCTGTCTGTCCTTTCAGGACCGCTTGCCTCTGGCTGTCGTCGGTAGCAACACTTCCGTAGAGGTCAACGGCAAGCGGGTTCGAGGGAGGCAGTACCCCTGGGGCATAGCTGAAGGTACGTGAGTCTTGTTGGCTCTCACTGCCAGTAGAAGCCATAAGAGCTGGAGTGACTCGCTCGTGTGAAGTGGCAGTGAAGGTTGTTGCCAAATCTTTAAGAGCTTTGTGTTTGATATTATAACTTCAGCTTATTTTTATAAAGCGCCCTTCTCAGGGTCTTTGGCCTGTAGCACTTTACAAGGAACTGGCAAACTTTGAAACTGTGGGGCTCTACTTCAAAACCTAATTAATTATACAAGATGTCGTTGGAAGAATTTGACCTGAGCAGCTTCAAAATGACATTATTCTTGAAATGGGAGTAAATAATTGAATTGGCACACATGGTTTTTGTTACGCTAACCCTGTCCAGCATGTTTGATGGCTGCTTAATGTAAGGCCTACTTAAAGTTCCACTCCTGACTCTGACATAATGTAGGCTGAGGATTGGAGGGGGGTCAGGGATTCCCTTAATTACTTAAAAGCAAAATGGGATCCGCATAGTTCTAGAAGTACTACAGGAAATTAACATTTAGTCCTTGTATCAGACTTATCTATAAAAACTGAACTGGATTTCTGGCTACTGTTACTACTGTAGCTTTACCAGTATGAGAGCTGTTCTGTGTGTACTGATAGGTTATGTATTCTGCAGTGCATGTCTAATGATGCGTTTCCTGTTTCTCTGCAGTGGAGAACGGGGAGCATTGTGACTTCACTATCCTACGAGACATGCTGATCAGGTATAAATACCTGTGGCAGGCAGGTCATGGTCACGCTGATACAAGTAGGATTAAAATTCGGGTCTGGAAAGCTGGATGTATGTGAAGGCAGCCGTCATAAAACACCTCTATTGCTGTAAAACCTGTTATTAGATCAGAATAGTTTTGTGCAGAGAGGAGCGTATGATGTGGGTTCTGACGGGACTTGGTTGTGTCTTTTGTAAGGACCCACATGCAGGACCTGAAGGACGTGACCAACAACGTTCACTATGAGAACTACAGGAGCAGGAAGCTGGCGGCCGTCACCTACAACGGCGTCGAGAACGACAAGAACAAGAGCCAGCTCACCAAGTGAGTGTCTGCTGTGTGAAAGAGCCGGGGGGGGGGCTGCCCCGCAACAGGCAAACTGACACGGAGCAGTCACCCACCAGCTTCTCTAGCACGAGCCCGAGGGTGAGGAACCAAGCCTAGGTGGCGTTAGGAAATCGCAGCGTTGGCTCAGAAGACTCGACAGGCCTAACCTCACGCTGGCCAGGGGTACACCACAACCACTAACACGGGCGGATCCTCGAAACCAGAGCCGTGCTCTTCATGCCACAGGCCCAGTATAGGCTTCTAACCCCGACACATCACAAGTGCTCATGCGGCTACAGCTAACAGAGCCTGCAGTTATACCCACAATCTCCGAACAGTAATGTTTTCTCTTTCTAGTGCATGAACTGTTTCCCGCATGTTAAGTTTGTTTTTCTGTTTTTTTAGACTTGACACAGTTGAAGGCATGTAAGTGGTCATTCCCATCATTCCATAAGAGCTTTTCTGTGCTCTCCTGTGAGAGGGTACCGAGCCGTGACCCGGGTCCCGGTGTGCCGGGATTCCCTGTCACTCTGCCGGGTCCCGGTGTGCCGGGATTCCCTGTCACTCTGCCGGGTCTCGGTGTGCCGGGATTCCCTGTCACTCTGCCCTGTCTGTATGCCGCGCTTTCAGGGGACCTTGTGCATATAAACGTAGCTGTGAAAGCAAAGACTGGGCATCCTGGGTTGATGGCCTCACTGTCATTGGTTTCTGTTAATTTGCACGTCTAATGTGAGCTCTGCTTTTGCTGCCTGTTCTTTGAGGTCACTAACACGCTTCAGCATCCTGAGCTATTAACATAGAGGGATTTGCTAGGCTATGCTCTGTGGGTCCCTGGTCCTTTCACTTTATGGGCGAGGATAATGGTTGAGTCTGGATTACCTCTTGATCATAGGCATACAGCCGTGCTTCAGTGTTGTTGATGTAATGTAATCCCCTCCTGGTAGTTTCACTGTGCTGCTGCAATGTGTGGTGATGGAGTAGATCTTTCTTCCAGGGTGCATATAGAGAACAGACATCACTAAGCATGATGTCTGGGGTGAGGCTGCAATATTATGGGCTATAGCATGTGTCTGACCCTCTGTGGTGTGTGTGTGATCCACACACGCTTGTGGGATCCATCTGTAGAAGCCCACTGGCCCAGATGGAGGAAGAACGCAGGGAGCATGTGGCCAAGATGAAGAAGATGGAGATGGAAATGGAGCAGGTCTTTGAGATGAAGGTCAAGGAGAAGATACAGAAGCTGAAGGACTCTGAGGCAGAGGTAGGATGTTGTAGATCCAACAGGGTAGACTGAGGACTGTCCAGGACAGAGCTGTGTCAGTCCGGGCCTTGCCGTGTGGCAGTGAGGGTACTGTCCCACCCACTGCTACTCATGCCCCCCCTCGTCTGGAATTTGTGCAGCTGCAGCGACGCCATGAACAGATGAAAAAGAACCTGGAGGCTCAACACAAGGAGCTGGAGGAGAAGCGTCGCCAACTCGAGGAGGACAAGGCCAACTGGGAGACACAGCGGCAGCTGGAGCAGCAGAAACTGGACGCCACCAGGTGAGCCCTGCAGGGGGCATGATAACCCGCTGTGGGTGTCCAGTCACCCAAAACCCACACTCTGTTAGAAGCATTTCGGTTTTTGCCCCTCTTAATATCAGTTTCATGACTTAAAATTCTCAACATTGATAAGCAATGATAGTCAAATGAAGCTTCATGAACCATTTGCTGTATTGTTTGAGCCCACAAGATGGCGCTCTTGGCTTGCTTTGGGGCACGCTTTGAACACTTTTTTTGAACAGAGAGCGCCATATCATGGGGTCAGAAAATACAGGAATTGGTTCATGAAGCTTCATTTAGTCATCACTAAAATGTGCTTATATTTTAACTAATTCTGTAACTTTGTTTCTTTCTGTCCCAGGACCTTGGAAAAGAACAAAAAGAAGGGAAAGATCTTTTAAAGTCTTTGGGAACTCTGTTTTACTCTATGCCGATATGCCAGTCTGGAAGTCAGTGTTTCGTGTAACCAGCAACACACCAAGCATGCTGGGATGGCCAGAATGGTGGTGTTGATGGACAGGGGTTTTCCCTCAGGAGGTCCTGAATGTGATCACTTTTACTGTTATCACGTTTGTGTTTGTTTGAAAGACAAGTTTATGCAATGAAAAATATCCAGATGATATACAATCGTTTTTAGTGGCCAGTGTGGTTGCACAGATGAAACCTTTGTTCTTCCATTAAACTGTTTGATGTTTCCCAGCAACGTACCATTACTGTCCTTTCCTGTGTACTATGTTCTCCATACTACAACATGTGGAACCTCCTGCTAGGTAGAGTGACCTGATGAAAATTCCTTCATAGGTGTCAACTCTCTCTCTCACTCAGGCTTTTGATAGACAAGATGAAGAGAAACTTAAAATGGCAACTTTTAAAGAAAGAAATGACTGCTTTATTTTCCAAAATGTATTTGCTTATATTTCTTGTAATTTAAATTACTTAGCCTTGGACCATCACATATAACTTTTTTTCCATGGGATTTTTTAATTTTTATTTCTTTTATATATTGGCCCTTTTAAAGTAAAATGTTTAGCTTTTGGAAGGATGGATTGGTTTATTGACAGGATGAACTAATTTTACTAGATACCTCTATATTAATAATAAAAAAAATCTCTGTAACAGTATTCATGACTGTATCAGAATTGGATTTCCAGACAAATTCGAATCCATAAATTTTCCATAGCTTTGTTCATCTGTGATATATACATTATGTATTTTTCATTTGTATTAAAATGTCACATAATAAACTTGTGATGATATAATCTGTCTGTTTTTTTTTTTAAGAATTTTAATTGGTGCCTTTTGTAGATAGATTTTTGTATGTTATATATTGCTGTTGCAGTGTTTTGTCAGCAGAGGGCAGTAGAAACGTATAAATGTGGTTGCGGCACTTATAACTATTTACTTTAAGAAAGTGGATGCAACTAAATTTTCATACCTGACACATACAAATGTAATGATTTATACATTAATCACAGTGTTTGTTTTTTCGTGCAATTAAAAGCTGGCTGGATAACAGATTCACTGTTGTATTGCTGAAACACAGGAAAGCGTGTAACCTTTCAGAACGCGGTTCCCAGGGGGCCATGTGTGCTAATTTTGTATTAACCTCGATTATTTGGTCCATCTGAAATTTCATTAAATCTAGGTGCCACATGAACTCATTTCACCAATGTGACTGAAGAAAGGACATTTCTATATAAAAAAAAAAAATCAGTTTTAAGTAAAATACATGTTACCCTTCAAAAAAGAGATTTTTATGGTCATAACTGCTTTTATTTTAAGAAACTAATTGTAGACAATGCACTGTAAATGTACACGTATGCCTAACATTGCCTTCCTTATGGTGCATATCAGCCGCTACTGAAGGACTTTGGACTTAACTGAAACCCCTGGCCTGGGAGCGTGGACAGGCTGTCTGAGCTGATATGACATCACCGCACTTCACTGGGAAGTTGGTGATCTTGTTAAACCAGACTCTCTGCTGATTGGTCAACTGAAACCCTGCTCATCGGGGTTAGCAGCTGTTCTTCCAATCAGAATCAGAAAACAGGGTCTTCACTCTTTCTCACCATTTAGCGTTTTTGTTGGGTATTGATTGTTTTTTTTTTTCTTTCTTTCAAGCTTCAGTGTTTTCCAATGTGTGGTTTTCTCTGATATTGAGTCATTAACATATTTCTGTTTTGTGCCTAATGGTAAGATAAAGACTTAAGATCTCATCCATCTGTTATATTTCTGCTACTTATCCATTACAAAGTCATTTGTAAAAGGAACCACACTATTATAAAAACATGTCTGGAAGCAGTTTGTTGGAAGTATGACAGGAAGATGATTTTCCTGTAATAAGATTTTATCAAGGATGACAAATAACAATTTGCACCGATTAGTTTGTGCTGAATATAATCGGCTTTCTGTTCTCCAGGCCGCTTATCTGGTATGGCCGTGTTGCCCATTCTGGCCCTCGAAGGAGGTCATTCTTCACAAACCCATCTTTAAAAAATGGGAGTTGACTAAATATTTCCTCCTCATATAGTAATAAACTATGCTGAGTGTCCTGTATGTAGACCATTACTTAATTTGCAGAGCTAGGAAGTTTGGTGCGCACAACATTCACATACAAGCAATACTTTAAAGGAAAATAATTTTTTTATTATTTGCATCTTAATGTTTTTTTACTCTGAAATTACAAGCGCTGAAACAGTAGCTATAACAATGGGTGTCGATTATTAGATTACTTCTATAATTAAATTATGCTTTGTCATATATTTTTAGATTATTAGTTTTACAGGCCTATGCTGATATACATAACTGACAGAAAATACAATGACAACTTCACTAAATATTGGTGAGGATATAGTTAATCATTGTATAATAGCATTTGGTACTAGTTTCAGAAACCATGTTTCTTGGCTTTTAACTTCCACATCACGGTACAATGATCAGGCAAGATCTCCGTTGCCGACCATTGGGGTGATTTACAATCCTGCAGCCAAAAATGTGTACTGGCAAATATTCTCTATAACTAGGCATACATAAGTATATCATGTGCTGTATATTGTTTATTTGCATAGAACTAATGTCATTTAGTGCGATTAATTCTAAGAATTAACTGGTAAACAAAAGGATACAAAAAGGATGCGATCAGTGATCATTTAAAAAATAACTCCTTTTTCACATCTCAGGTGGCCCGATGCGATCAAAACGTCTTTGGGTATTTAATGAACATGCCGTAGTTTCCCTAATTTTAAACGTTTCTCTATACGTGGAGAGGTACAGAGATTTTAAGAAATGGATAAGGCGAACTCCATAAGGAAATTTTCATGTTTGAAAGTTCATAGTGACAAATTTACTGTAAGGCTTCTTTCCAGCACACATTCTGAGGGCTCATTCATACTAACGACTTTGACCTGTGAAAGAATGAGGGCAAATATGTATGACTGGTTGTTGAGAAAAACGGTAAATTCAAAATTAAAATATACGACAAATAAAGAATATATGTAATGAAAGTGGTTGTTTTCTCAAAATTTGTTTTAAGTGCAGACTCCAAGAAATAAAAATCCCTGAAAATGTTATTATTAAATTGATGACGACAGATGCACGAGTATCATGATGTTACAGAAAGTATCACATTTAAGTAGTTATTCTAGTTGTTTTTTCCTTCATTTAAATACTGTTCTAATTATCAAGAAACATAAAGTGACGAGTTAACAGATGTGCAAACCTTTACTCAAAGTGTCTTGTATTATTATAAGCAACTTTATATAAGGTCGATATATCAACAAAAGTCGCTTTTATCTCATTAATATTTATAAGCCTTGTGTTTAGTTAATGCACATGTTCCGTATTTGTTATAGAATATGTGACAATCTGAAGGGCACGGCAGCATCGGTAGCCGCTAGCGACACGCCATGCGGGAGACGCAGTAAGGTTTTTGCTTCGCGGACTGTCAGCCAGCGCCGGGGCCCCGCCCACCGCCTCGGCTGCGCCAATTCATTACGTCTGTCGGGGCGGGCTCGGGACCGGAGCGGGCGCCCCGTCCGACCGATCTGTGCGCCAGCGAGCCTGAATGTCGCCAGACACTGGGCACGGATATACGGGGAAGCACAGGAAAATGCAAATACGGATTATTACCAGAAATTCAACGACACGGTTTTGCGCAGATGTCGGGCTACGGCGTGCGTGTGAGAAGATGTAGAATTAGTGGTTTATTAACTAGTCGGGTTTATTATGATCGTGTTATGTAAAATCGAACATCGTTTTATAACTGATTTTTAATTACTATTATTAAGGTTTGTCACTGATGTGTGCGTCAGTCATGTAGGTTGCTTTGCTTATCGGAGGCGCGACCGGTACTGTCACTTATTACTCTGTTTTCGTGCACTTCTGCCGATGGTCTGAGGAGGTTTTCTCGCAGGTGATTAGATAATGGGGGGGAATCTGGGCTGTCACCGGCCGATTCCGAAAGATCCGGTTGATTTCTGTCATAGCAAACGAAAGTATAGCGCGGCCTGCAACTTCGGTCATATAATGGTCAATCAGGAGCGACTCAACATTAACACGGCCACTGAGGAGGAGCTGATGACCCTGCCGGGGGTGAACCGCACTGTGGCGCAGAACATTGTTGAGTACCGCGAATGCATCAAAGGTTTCAAGAAAGTAGAGGACCTAGCACTGGTGAGCGGGATAGGTGCTGCCAAACTGGAGGTCATTAAACTGGAAATATGCGTCAGCAACAGAACTGGTTCCGTGCAATATTCTCCATCATCCGTACGCCAGAACCACGAACGCTTGGCACACGCCGGTATGAACATTAACACCGCTACGCAGGCACAGCTCGTCAGCATCCGCGGCGTAACAGAGAAGATCGCCAAGAACATTGTTGACTACCGAAAGCAGCACGGACCGTTCAAAACTGTAGACGATCTGGTGAAAGTCAGTCACATCAATTTTTCTCTACTGGACAAAATAAGGTCCCAGGTTTTTGTGGAGCGCTCCAGGGCGCCTTCCACCAACACAAACGGCGGGCTCACTTATACGAGCAGATCACACGCGAGTCCCACGTCTCTGAGCCTCCAGAGTGACGATCTGGACCTTCCACCCGGAGGCCCGGCAGAAATCATCTCGACGCGACCCGAAGTGGAGGTGTTTTTGGGAAGGCGTGACAGCAAAGCCGTGCTGCGAGCGGCCACCTGGAGTTTGCAGAGCTGTACCAACGAGAAAGCAAACAACCCAGGCGTGAGAGAGGTTGTGTGCATGACGCTTCTGGAGAACGGGTGAGTTTGTGCTCATCTCCATATACAGGTTCATGATTCCTACAGTTCTACATGTAAAGTTTGCTTTTTCTATACTGTTGCCACGGAAACGCGTCTTGAATATTGAAGGAAGTGCGCTGACAGCTGCTGGACTCGCGTATCAGCCAAATCTTTACATGACAATAATTACCCAAGTTCTCCTGTACTTAACCTACTGTAACCTCGTCTTAAATCTGCAGCCTCAGCAGCCGTCTGGAGACGTGTCTTTTGCATATTTTACGCAATTTCCATAGACATGTGATACTTTCATATAAATGAAGTAAATACAGACATCCCACACACTACAACTTGCACTGTGAACTTTGTAATACGATCGGAGTCGTAGGCTACATGAATCACGCTGAACTCCAAAAAAAATGACAATGACACCCAGTTAAATGAAAGTGGAAGGTAGTTAGTAGACTGAAGCCGAGTGATAAAAATTATGTCAAAACAATGATACAGATATTTTGCACAATGCCTTTGACAATTAAGCACTGCCCATCTGCATTCTATGTTTTACAAATTGACGCGTTTACGCAGCTTTCTTGCGCTGGTGCCGTGATTGTCGCAGATATGAAGCGGAGCCCGAAAATCCCCCCCTTTTCCGCGCTATAGGTGCATTTCTGGAGCGGCGCGATGTTATTCGTCGGCTCTGCGATCAGCTGTCAGGTGATCTCACGCGCATGCTCGGTCACATGCTCAGGGGTGGCCCCCAGTTTGCTGAGTGAGTTCCCTCGAGGCAGAAGTAACTGGAGGTCAGCTCGGCAGGGTTATTAGAGGTCAACCCGCTGGATCCGCTCACAGCGGGCGCGGTCTGGTCGCCTTCGCTGCCGATTAGGGACCAGCCTGGTTGCTGGTTGAAAGTAGGGAAAGAGTCACCTGAAGATGCAAGGGATTTCTTTTCTAGAAAAGGTTGTTTGGAATTTTACTTGAGCCCTGGGGTTGGCCCTAAAGAAACTATGGTGCCT